GGGCTCCGGGTCCACCGGTCACCTGAGGACCAGGGGGTTCGGCCGCCAGGGTCGGGGCGTGGATCCGTGGATCCGTCCGTGTTTCGGCCGCCATGGATCAACCGGTGGGCCCAAGAGGCGCGGAGGCGCGGAGAATGGGTGGAACCTCGGAGGGTTTGGGGGGCGATGATTGGATCTTGAGTGCAGTGTAGACCTGACATTGGAGTCTATCCTTCAATTGGGATCCTGGATCCCTTTTTCAGGCGCTACTAAAGGTTTCAGCCCGGGGATTGAACAGGCAAGCCCGAAGGCCAGTTTAAAGTTGGCAATGCTCATTGAGAATTCTGGAGCTGGGGCCCATGACCATCATGACCTTTTGGAAGGCAAAGTGAGCACGCAAAACCTCCCAATGTGACATGCATGACAACAAGCTACAATGTGTGCGAATCGGATTTTCAACACACACACACATATTATATATATATATGTATATATATTATAGGCCTGTGAATCCAGTTTCAGGGGAGGCTGGCTGACCTGGGCTTGCGAGATTGACATGAACAGGACTCAGAGTCAGTTGGCTTCTAAGAGGAAGATAGCCTCCGGTGTTCAGGAGTCCATAGTCCCAAAGTTCGCTATGCATAGTGGCATGTATACCTACCTGCTGGTGGGTCGCTGGTAGAATAATATGGAAGAACCCCGCCCGGTACCTACCTTTGGTGTTTTAATATGGTAATGTGCGGTGTTTTCTGAGTCTTTGGCATGTATATGTTGCTCCCACGTCGGTTTGCGGGCCTTATGGGACAATCGACAATACACTCCCGAAAACTAACATCCCTGAGAATGGCACCCTCAAAGACTGTTGTCCTCTAGCTGCACCAGTGGTTTTCAGGGTCTATGTATGTCTAAATTATTTTTCAGTGGGGTCTATCATGGAGACATCCTACCTCTAGAATGGTTTTACATCACCAGGCTGGAGGACTGGGGGGGGGCTTGATGCGTGAACAGGCGAAGACCAGGGGAAGATGACTCAGTCTCGAAGGCTCATTGCCTTTCCGATGAGCCAATTGGCAGATCTTTGTTTGGGGCGGCCCAGGTTGCATCAGTTGACGAAGTGGACTGGAAGAGTTTCCTACATGAGAACCCCATGAAAATGACCCATCCATGGGTAACTATTCCAGTCCCATGGATGGTCAGGGCTTAGTGAATTCTAATGTATTAATTTAGCAACAGCTGGGGGAGGAGGTAGTGAACCGGACCTGGCAGGGTTTGAGCATGAGTAAAAGGCACCTTCCGAAAGGGACGACCGAGAAAGTGCTGACCTTCCGAAATGAAGCAGAACACGAAACGAAAGTTTGCAGGACGTACCAAGTTGCAGACCCTGAGGTTTAAGAAGTCAGGGAGCTTTGCCCCAAATGACCGGGATTCGAGCCACGAGCTGCACGAGCTCAAGAGTTTGGACCGGGAAAAAGGGGCCGCGAAGCCACAAACGCTCTCGCCATCCGAACCGCCGCGCAACCTGCCCACCGCCGGAGCGGCCGCTCTTCGCGCGGACCCCAAGCGCTCGACCTCGCGCGGTCGACCTCGCCGCGGCGGCGTCGCAGCGGAAGCAGCCATGGCGGTGATGCACATGGCACGACATGCCATGCCTCATGGAGTTGATGTGCGGCCAGCTGGGGACACCCAGAGGGAAAGAGACATGGAGACACGCTCGGAGAGACCATAGGACTGCGGTCGCAGTGGGTTAAAGTTGGACTCACCATCCCAAGGTGGAAGTCTCTCACCTACTGATGTGACACTGGTCATTCAGTATTATAGGTCAGGTATAGGTCATAATTCATATGATCCATGGAACAGGGGCATACCAGCAAAGGAACCAACGAGCAAGTTCCAGCAAAGTTGACACATGATGGTTTTAAGTATGATGTTTGTTATTTTTAGTGCTTTCTCCTGTCCAAGTCGATCCATGGGACTGGTATATATATATATATATATTCACCACTCTTGTGGCATGTTGTGGGACACCCTTCTAAGGCACAGAGGTTCAGATCCTGGACAGCCCAGATCCACGGTGAACGGCAGGCAAAGAGTCGATGCCGGCGCCATGAGGCCTCACCCATGTATTTGACTCCTCGGTCGCATTCGCCGCACGCGCACCTGCGGAATCTCATGGTGCCTCCAGGGCAGGCCGCGGGGTTTCGGCAGACGCGGTGAAACCGCGGTTTCGGCCGACGCCACACGGGTCACGCGGGAGGTCTCCTCTTGTCCCTTTGGGATCTATCATGAATTTGGGAAAGGCCAGAAGTCTTGCGGTGCCCCCAACCCAACCAACCCACATACATCACTAATGGACGAGAGAATCAGAAAGGAACTGGTATCCTACCACATACTGTATGCAATAGATTGGATGGAGAGTTAACACTCCAAGGGCCCTCCAGAAAGGGCCCAACCTGTATGTAGCATTGAGACCTTTTGCTTCTGCAAGCGGCGTGCGCAGATGCATTCGAAGGTGCTGCCTCTCCCCACCCCGGGCCTCGTATCCGCTTGTTGGGAAAGCCCTTTGAAAGATATCAAACCCTACAGTTGGAGTGGAGTTGAGTGCATCATAGACGAACACTGCACAAGGAGGTTTTTTCAGGACCAGGTTTATTTACTGGGTCGTTGGTTGGACCTATATAAAACATGTCTAGAATAAGGAAACTGAGGACTGGAATGCTCAAACCATTGACTGACTTCGGCCCTTGAGAAGACGGGTTTCCTTTAACAGGCCACAACTCCATGCGATTTTACGGTGGACATCAGTGTCACCACAGACATTGCCCTCACCTTCCAGGGTCGCAAGACGGTTCAATCATGTTTCTTTTTTCTTTCTGGTTTTGCAGCGTAGAATCCTTAGTAGAACAAGCTGTTTTTCTTTATTTTCGGGTTGTTTATCCATTAAATCAAAGGTGGTTGGAAGGTTCGGGATTTCTCTTCCATCTCTTGCATGGCGCGAATCCGCCGCTCGTGACGTGCGTGCGGAACGAAGTCGCGTCCGCCAGATGATGACCCAGACGCAGCCAGCTGCTTTGCAGCTGGGGCAGGTGGGTTCGATGCCTGCGCCTGCCATCGCTGCTGGGGAAGCCCAGACGGAGCTCGTTGCGTTCGCAGCTCGTGGCGTAATTTTAGCTCGCAGCTGGTGCACGTGTCGCGCATGTGTCAGCCGTTTCTCGCGAGGTGTTTTGGGGGTTCACGTTTTGGCTCAAGGCATAGAATTCAATGCAGCTTTTTGATCAATAAACCCCCGTATGAAGAGGCCTTATCCAAACCGTTTTAAAACAAGAGTCTACATGATCTACATGCATGCTGGAACCAAGAGGGAACTGTTTTGTATTAATTGATATATCCTGTCGAAGCGCAGCCGAAGGACATTGCTGTACAATGTCATGTTCATATGTGCATCATATTTTGACCCTCCAAGCCTAGTGTGATGTAGCGTGTGTGATGCCTGAGGCAGCGGTGGCGAACTTGATCAGCCAGGGGGGCTCAGAGTTCTCTCACGACGGCATGTGACTTCTGACATGGATGGGTGCAGGCAACGATTCTATCAATCTATACCCACCCTACGCAACCAAACCCTATAAATTTGTAGGGTCTCAATCGGAACCTCGGGTATTCTTGTGAAATCAAAAATACCTCAGGTTTGTTCTTAAAACCTCAGGTCTTGCTTTTCTAAACTGTGCTAAACCCATATTTAACCCGTACTAAACCCATATTTAACCCGTACATACCCGTACTAAACCCGTATTTTAATATTGGTTTGGAGAACCTGGGGTTTCCTTCAGAAACCCTAGGTTTTTCCATCGACCCTACAAATTCATAGGGTTTGGGTGCGTAGGGCAGACACTCCATGGGACTGCCATATTCCGATCCTCCAAAACCACTCCTGGCCTGATCGGCTGTCCTAATTATACCAGTCCCATGGGTCGTGTCTGGGTATACATGGATGGTTTGGGTATGTCACATACACATCCAGCCTTGGTGGGTCATGGGTTGGGTGTCCTTTGACTTGAGCTGCGCCCGTCCCGGGGCGAATCGGTTCCGCGGTGAGCCGGTGCCCCGCCCAAGTACCGCAGCGGTCACCGAAACGGAGGAGGCCCGCAACGTCAAGAACGTCAAATGACATGCCATCCCAGTGCGACTTGTACTGACTCAGTGTACAATGCTACCCCAGTAGACTTACTGCTACAGTGTACATGCTACCTCAGTGTACTGCCTGTACCAGTCGGTCAAAACCTGATCACTCTTTTGGGACACCGGGACGCTCACCGACCGCCGTCGGCTCGTCGAGCTGCTTCGAGCGTCTTGACAGTGGTTTCAGACCCAGACCGCTCCATAGGACTGCCGATCAGGCCAGGGGTGGTGCCAGGGGGGTCTGGCTGTTTCTCGGCAGTCCGCCCTGGCAGTCCCATGGATCGTCGTGTATGGGAGAGTAGATGGCACAGACCCCATGATGTCCTTTTAAACTTTAGATGGGGATCCAGAACCACCGACATTGGGGTCTGTGCCATTGGTCCTCTCAATCCACTAGATTGTGCTGGAGCTGGAGCTGGTTCCAGTGAGGCGGAGGTTCGGATGGAGAAGAATCATTCTCAGCTTTGAGCACCGACTGTCTGGAACCACGCTTGCATGGAACCACGCATCGAATCAATCATTCTGCAGCCTGCAATGTGTCTGCCAAGGCCATCAGAAAAGGTGACCTGATGTGACCTGCATGGTTTTGTAGTGTAGAATCCTTACCAAGCAATGGTTGCTCGGTCAAAACCATTACATCAATGGCGGGCCAGGAATCTTATAAGAATGCCGGACTGTGCCGAAGACGCTGCAACTGAAGAATTCTGGCCACCCTATTTACGCTAAGACTTCAGGGGATTAATTATTGAGGGCGCCCTTCACGCACCTGTCCTACACCACAGGTCAAACTCCTCATTTGAATGGATTTGGTCAACACTTCTTCTATCTGGCACCCCGTGACGCCCGTCATGCGGCTTCCATGGTGTGGCGTGGTGCTGTGGGTGGCAGCGCAGGAGGGGGGCGAAGCTGTGGCGAAGCGCCGGCACCATGCCGCCATTCCCTGAAAGGTTCCAACAGAGGTTGAAGAACCCTCTAGACCTATAAGGTGACGACTCAGGTGGAACTAGACTATAAGGTCCTATCAGGTGAAGAACCCTCTAGTCTAGACTATCCCATAGGTCCTATAAGGTGACGACTTCCACCTCTCTTGGTTCGGAGCTCACCACCGAATAGGGGTGTTCGGAACGAAGATGAAGATGGTCCAGGAGCAGGGAGCGTGGTCATACTCTCAAGTTGTTTGGGGGGAATTGGTGAAGAGCCCATGACAAAACCACGGGAAGCGAAAGCTCGGTGAACCAAACGATTTCTTCAGGGACAGCTTGTTCAAAGTATCGGGAGTCAGTACGTAGGCTTGCATCGCATGGTGGAAGAGTGGATGAAGATGTTTGCGGTTGTTCTTTGTTTGGTGGCTCGGATGGTAATAGCATGTAATATCTCAATGGGGCTTGGATGTTTTTTTAGTGCTTTTGAGAAGGGATCCACAGGATGCTTCACTGGACCGACACCTGCATTAAAGAGTGTCCAATAGGGCAGTGGACAGTGGCAGTGGATTGATAGGGACTGAGGTAGTGACCGGCAGTGAAGGAGATACTTGGGTGTGAGGTTTCATGAAGTCTTTGAGTCATTTTTGAGACCTGTAAGGTTTGCCGGTCTAGAAGAGAAGTGCTGCTGTGCATGAACAACCACAGCATACCACAGCCAGGTTGGGAAGGTATTCTTTTGCATGGGTACGACAATTATATGTTTTTTCACACAGATCATCCATTTTGTACAAAACGCGGAGAGTCCCTGGAGAGTTATAGATGGATACTCAATGATACTTCCATGAGGGCGGTTTTATAGTGATTGCAAAGATTCTGCGGTGATCAGCCTGACATGCTTACTGAATTGGTCAGACGCAAGTTTCAGGGTCGTTTCAAGTGCCATAGAGAGCGGGTAGTCATGGGGGGTGGGGTTGTGATTGGGGATGATATCACTGAAACTTCTACACCACTCCACCCCCGATGGCTACCCCTTCTGATATTACTATATATTAGGTTGGGTGAAAGCCTTGAACCATTTTTAGCAGGATGGAAGATGTGCCTTTGATGGAAGCAAAGACCTTCATTGAATATCATAGTTGTACAGCGGTTTTGCATGGCCGTGACTCAGGGAAGACCTACCTAGTTTGGCCATGTTCCGGGTCACTGGGCGCGGATGATATGCTCGGCACATCTTCGCCAGGAGGGGAAGATGGTGTGTCAATATTGCCGAGTCAAGGACAAGGTGGGCTGTTGCTCCGGCTCCGCCCTGCCCTTGCCCCCCGCGTGTTCACCGTTTCATCGGCGTGTGACGCAAAGTGGGCCGAAGAGACGATCTCAACCAGACCTCAAAAGCCGTTTTGGTCCAAACGGGATTTTTCTACTCCACCACTACGCTCTGGAAGATGGAACCTGAAAACCACTCAGTCGTAGAGGAACATAGTCTTCCAACAGTCCAATTGTCAGTTTCCATGTTCATTGTCCTGGGTGTAACTATCGCCACATGTCTTGAACATGATTCAACTCCAGTTTCATACCGGTTTGCGGTTCAATGAAGTACATTTGAGGTTCTTCCCCACTTCTTGCCACACATGGCCAGTCGTGCGATCAGCTTTGTTTTTTCAATGAAAAAACTAACTGACACCTGAAAAGCCAAAGGGCTCACTCAGATGGACTGTTCCGGAGGTCCGCTCCGGCGGACTGAGGGAACCCGTTCGAGTCTAAGGTGATGGAACCGGGTCCGTTCCTTTCCAATCCCAGGTGGCGGTTTCAGAGATGTGGTGATCTACCTAGAACCTGAGTGACCCCTGTTTTGGAGGATCAACTATGCAAAATATGGGCCTTTTCCTATCAAAACAGGGGTCACTCACGGGTTCTAGGTACCTAAATGTGCAATTGTTACTTGCTGGATCATATTCAAAAACCGCTGACTCTATATAAGTTGAAACCACCCACCAGATAAGTTCTCTCAGCAGTTTTTGGAGGCTGAACGATTCTACAGAGTTGTGACTGTGGTGTGACAGTTTTTTGGGTGAGGCCTTCGGCAGCTTGACAGTGCTTTGGTTTGAACTCTTGGAGCACTGGACGTGCATGCGAGGAGGGAGGGATTCGAGGGATCGCTATACGGTTCTCCGGCTTTCCGGACATGGACCAAATGGTCACATACGTGGAGTTCACCGTGCTGTTTGGTACATGGTCATCCGAAAAATATGGGCCATGCCATCTACTTCTAGTGATGATTCTAGGGGGCGTAATAGAAGATCAGAATTGCTCCGAAGCACAAACCATGATGGCCTGGGAGGTTCCAGCCACCCTGGGGCTTGGGAGGTCCAGGGAAGGTGGAGAGTCCTCACCGGCAACTTCTGATCCAGAGCATACACCAATGGAGAGAACGGGACCAAAAGGGAAGAAGTCTACCAGGACTCCAGGACCCTTAAAGGGGTGGTTAATGGACACCCCGAATCACAGCTGTTTGGGGCTATAAATAGACACCCCAAATGGAGGGTACATGTGACTTACTGTGTTATTTTGTGCAATTCAGTTAGTTCTCTCCTTTTGTCGGTGAAGCTGATTTACAGAGAGCAGATGGCACACATGTCGCTTGGTTCGATGCACACATCGCTACTCCACGCGATCGAACAGGGCGCCGTGGGCCCTGTCGCCTCCCAGCCTCTGCACGTCGGTGGAGATCGGAACCAAACGAAACGGTCGAGGTGTGGCAGAAGTTCCCCAGCGAGGAGGAGGCCAAGAGCTTTTGCGATGAGAATCAGGTGCGGATTTCCACGCCACACGATGCGGAGTCGGAACAAAAACAGTACAGTGGTTTCAGAGGTTCGATGGCACAGACCTCAAGATGTCCTGAAAACATGCGGGGTTTATAGAAACCACCGACATTGGGGTCTGTGCCATTGGTCCTCTCAATCCACTATAACACTTGAGGGCCATCGGATCCGGGTCGGATCGTGTGGCTTGTTCGACCCATCGAGGTTCGCCACAAGAAACCAAGGGGCCGGCGTGCGTGGCGTGGCGGTGTTCCTCGCGGTTTGGACCTTCAAACATGAGATACCCTAAGAATCTTCCAAACCCTCCCATGGAGGGTTTGGACCCTGCATAGCAGGGGTTTGGACCTTCCAAACCTTCACCTTTGAGGGTCCTTGATTCTTAAGGTAGTTCCCTAGGTGTAGCCATCCAAGACCATATAGGTCGACCTGGTTTTGTAGTGCAAGATCGGCGTAAAAACCGGTTCTTCGGGATTCAGGCTGGTTAAATCAATGATGGGTTGGAATCCTAGCTAGGGTATGGTGACAGACTGCCAACCTGTTGGGACCGGGTTAGTGGGTACGGGTGGGTTTCCTTTCCGTGAAAGACATGTTTTTGCATAAAATTCACTCACTCACGAGTGACAGAAGTCAAGGAGTTCAAGAGACATGTCCTTGCCGCTTGCCCAGAGCGCCCCTGGCTTGTCCAGGACTGCATTGGCTATCACTTGCATCCACATACGAAGATTCTTGGCGATGGGTGTTGCCTGGCTCGTGGCCTAGGCAGGCCCTGTAACGGCTGGGTGGGTGCGAAAGTAGCGTGTCATTGGATTTCTTACTCAACCACTTACAGTACAGTGGCCTCAGAGTAGAGAGCACACAACCCCATCCATCATTTTTTCAATACCCTAGGCCTCCAAGTACCTTTCGAGCAGGTTTTTTGGGGTGGGTGCCCGGAGGGTCCAGTCGTACCTTATGAGGAGCTACGACGAAGTCGGTGGAGGGATATGGAAGTTCCTTGAAACACACCGAACCTGGGGGCCAGACCGATGGACCGGTATACCCCCCAACTGTGGTCAGATATCTTGGGGTGACAGTGCCATCGAACCGAACTCATGGTTCTTCTTACTGGAGGCACGGCTGGAAAATGAGTTTACTCCCAGACATCGATGCATGGCTGACTGGCTCCCTGGGCTGGTATACAAAGTTAGTTTAGCACATTTGATTGCTAATATCTGTAGGTCAAGGTTGTTTCGGGCTCGTTGCGTGAGATGTTTGTTTGCCAAATGCTCAGGGTTCAGTTCAACTGTTATACTATTGCCGCACCACTTGCAATGCTCAAATAGGTCATAAATTATGCGTTGCTTGAAATGTTGTTTGACTTCCCCTATTACGGGTGAACCCGGTGAACCCCTTTTTGGTGAATATATATATATATATTATATACCAGGACCTTCCAAGAGGTGTCTATAAATAGCCTCTTAGAGGTGTCCAAAAACCACCTGTTGGAAGGTCCTGGTAGTTATTTGGCATTTTTTCCGGTTCCTTCAGCAAACTCCACTCTCGTGACGTTCCGGCCGCGGCCTGCTTCAGAACGTCAGTCCGGACTGGCAAACAACCCAAACTCCCGAGAGCACTCGGGAAACGGACTGTCCAATCTTCTGACATGATGTGTAGTAACTTAGTTAGCTTGTTCTTCTGGTTCGAGTTGTTGGTGGAACCTGTCACTCTTTTTTCACACCTGTTCTATACCGGTTGAATTTGGGGCTCAGCGGCCTTGCCGCCACCCCACCCAAAAGTGGTGGGGGTGCTGACGTTGCGGCCGACCTGGCGGGATCCGAGAACCGAACAGAGATTTCCATGACAAGGCGGCTGGACAGAAATAGCAGAGCCGCGTTCGGGGTTGGAGGCGGCTGTTCGGTGGATCCCTTGTTACCCGGCCGGTCTAGAAGATGCATGTCTTATATAGATTGATTCAAGGATGGAACTTCCATGTCGAAACTACGTGGTCAGATCGGAACCGTTCGAGCATACTGAGAATGGTGCTTTCCTCACTGCGAAGGGCGAACGATGTGTAAATCGCATGGTCGCATGGTTTACTTTTTCTTTCTTCCCTAGGGCTCCTGGCCCACCTCCGTTTCGAAGATGGTGTGGATCTGGGGGGTCCAACGACCGAACCTGAGGATATTGGCCAGGAACCCTAAGGTTTAAACAACTGCCAGTCGTTCTCCACAGGTTTTGAAGATGAGAACCTCCGATCGAACCAGAGCGCTCCAGTTAGAGCGCCTGTTGCCAGGCGGCTGATGCCGGCCATGGCGGCCCTGGCGGCTGTTTTGCTTTGGGTTGCTGGATTAGCGATCCCTTCAGCGGATGCGGCGGGTGCAGATGGATCCTGTTTGCTTCAGAGGCAGCCAGGCAGGGCAGTTCGGTGAAACAACCGGGGGCGACCCAGATTCGAGGCGAGAAGGACGTGGAGCTTGGTGTTCATCTCCAATGAACCGCTCGGGTTTTTGGAAGGTTTTTGGAGACCTCAACAAGAGATGTTGAATCACCTCTATAGGTTATAAGGCATCTTTCTACGTTTCATTTCATGTTCCTTTTTCCAACTCTGATAATGAAGTTATTCAGAATAACGGTGGCCTTTTCTGTTACTAAGTTACTAAGTGGCCTTCATGTTACTAAGTTTCTCTTAATGAAGGCCACCGTGGATCGGCCAGTGAGATGAGATCCGCTCCGAGGGACCAGATCTTTCATGATCTTTCGCCGGAGCCGAGCTGCCCGGAACCGGGGGGGTCCGTGGATCACCTTCGTTAAAACATGTTAAAACAGCTACCATACAAACAACTGTAACACAAGGTGCGTGAAAAAGGTGACTAAGGTCAGTGTCCAGGATGGCACCTGAGGCATGATTTGTAGATGAGACAATTTGAGAAAGAACATGCTTCACCATTAGGGAAAAGAATGTGTTTCAACATGTTGCCACCAATCCGGCCAGTTTGAGACATACTCGTATTTACGTTCAACCTTTACTTGGGGGATGTTGGATCCCACTGGCTATTCAGGACCGTCCTTCGACATGTGTTTCGACCATGGCCATTTGGGGAGACAGGAGCGGCGACGCCCAGACAAGACAAGCACGATTTGCGCGGCGAAAGCGAGAGACCTGAAATTGATTGGCAGATGATTTCCCATGATTTCCCAGACATTCCATGTATGGAATCATATGGAAATTATGGAATGTAAAACATTTTCAACATATTGGAGTGTTTGCATTTGGGGTGTGCCTCCACAAACGAGGGGGGCCGATCTGACTTTTGACAATGTTGAAGCTGGGTCCAGGATTGTGGGTCCGGACGGGAGGAATGGTCTAAAACCCCAGAAACCGCAAACAGATTTGATCAAATCGAATCAGGAAATGCATATTGATTGGGCATATCTAGTAACAGTGGATGATGATGGGCAATGATGGGCCTTTTAAACAAATTGTGATAATCCTTTATTGACTGTTACAGGTCATAGGAAACACACAACATATTGATGTGCAGCTGCAAACTTTTAGGCCAAATCCAAACACACAATCCTGATCGAGAGCCATGTGCCTGCAGACAGCTCTTTTTTTTGGGGGGCTCTTGAGGAAACAGTAACATTAGTGATTTTTCTTTGGGCCGTGTGGTGGGCTCAGTGAATCCCAATGATAGGAACCGGCGCTTCTATGGAACCTACCAAGTTACCTATGAAATAGTATAGTAACTGCAGATGCACTGGTGGGATGGTGATGGTTTCCTACGAGTCGCCGAGGAGCTTGAAAGGATGCTTGGCCTTCATTCACATTCCCAAGGCGATGGGCGGCAGCATCGAGCGCCCTGGCAGCATCGAGCGCAGTTCGGCGTCCACCGCATCGCGTCGACGCGCTGGGGGGGGCATGTTGGGTGGAAAGCAGCCTGGCACCCCATGCCAGGGTTGTTACTAGATCCAGTGAATCATTGAATCATTATGATCATTTACTGTATAGTTATACCGTTATACCACTATACTGGGGGCAAACCCTGGGTTCCAAAGAGTCAAGGTCGACCTAGAAAGCCTGGTTCCTTCCAAGATTCTATGGCTGTGGATTCAAGAGGGAACCTGCCAACTAGTCAGAGCTCCGCTCCTCGGGCTGAACAAGGGCTCCGCGACGCGACGCGACGCTCCCGCGCCCAGGTTGTCGCGGCTCCATGCGTGGGGCGTGCCGTTCAACCGCACTGATGGGTGCCAGTGGCAACTTCGGAAGCACGGCACCGAGTCAGTGCGAAAGCAACGACAAGAACCAGGAGCTTTATGGGGCTCATGCCACTTGATTCCATGTATGACACTAAGCTGGGTGTAACTATGGTGACTCCACCTTTTTGTGAATCAACGGGCAGGTGTGACACCAGTCAAATTCCACGGGTATACCACAGCTGAGAACATCATTGGTTACCAGCTGTTGAGACAAACAGATACTTCAAGACCTGGATCCTAAGACCCCTTGGACCTGGCTGTGTAGACTGGTCCAGGTCCCAAACCTTCCAGGGGTTGCCTCCCATGTGAGGATTGAGGTTTCCGGGGTCGCCCCTGATCCTCCCCACAAGGTTTGTGGTAGCTGGCCATCATGGTCCATCACTCGTTTAGAGCGGCTGCATGTGGCCTGAGATCTGAGAACACTCCCAAATCATCATCAGAAGGTACGACTGGACCCTCCATGCCTACATAAAGGAGTGTCCTTGCTCACCGTACCTCACATGGTGGCAGCTGTTCGGTTTGCAGATGTTCATCCTCCGAAGGAGTTCGGGTGCCATCCATTCTTCAAAGTAGATTCTCCTTCACATCTCATTAGGAGACGGACCGAACCAAGATGGAAGACTGCAGACTGCAGGTGATGCTGGTATCCCATGCACACACGTGGACCTGAACGAGAAATATGGTAACACCTGCTGCTTGGGTTAACTCACGCGCCGGGGTGGGCTTCCTCTTTTTCAAGATCCCTGGTGCTCCTCCAACCGTTCTACTGTGCCATCTTTCTAGGTGCCAGATGTTGCCGAGCGTTCAGCTTTTGTAAGGCAACCTATTATTGAAGAAGAGACACAAGAACAGACATCCCTCTCCAACTGCGCCGTTCTCGCACGCGTGCAGTGTGTTCAACCTTGGGTGTTGCTGCTTTCCACATGCGGCTTCCGTGCAGAACCCGGACGTGGCGAAACCCAACCTGAGGCTCACAACCCAGCCTCTTCAGTGGCAAAAGATGTTCTGCTTGGCATTTTCCCCCGAGCTTCGACTCACGACTGGCGAGCTACTACACGGTGACTTCGCGGCGACACGTTCCACGCCACCGATCGCGTGCCGCGGCGTCCGACCATCGGAAGTGGCCGCGTTCCTTGCCGGTGGGGTGCCCAAAACACGGCGCAAAAAAGAGATCCCAAACCATCCATGGGACTGGCAGATGGATTTCCCGTGTACCATCGTGCTGAAGGTACTGAAACCATCCAAAGCTACCGTCCCACCGTCTCAGAAGGTACTTGGAGCAGTAGGGTTTATTTACCTACAACATCCTATAGCCTACAAGATCCTACAAGTTTGTTTTTTTTGTGGAAGAGTTTTTTCAATTGTTCCTGCAGACCATCTATACGTACGGGGTGATACCGTCATAGTCATAGTCATGATGCCAAAATAACTAGACATTGCATGGAATCACGGAGACCTACTACCGTCTCCACCCACTACAGTCAGGCATGAATTCAGCAATGATTTGCAAGAATTTCCACGTTTTCTGGTGTAGCAAGTAGGGTTACATAGGGGTTACGATGACTCCACACGCGGCGAAAAACCTGGCATCACCTGGCAGTCGGGACCCCTTCGTCGTCGTCGTCGTCACGGCGCCGCGAGGAGACCTGCGACTCCTTCTGCGTGGTGCGCCACCCACTGGAGCGATTCATCAGTCAATATCGTCATATCCGACAAGTGGGGAAATATGAAGGCGGGAGAGATACCGGATTGGGGACTGGGAGCAGATACCGTGGGTCGTGTAGTGGAGTTTGGTGCTGGGCAATGAAGAATCATGAAGCATATCACCTGGTGTTCCGATTCGCTAAGGCTACAAAAGCTATGGCAAGCACCCTTGCGATGCCAAACACTTGGAGCGCTTTGCCAATGAGACCCTGAAGGAGCTCAATTTGGAGCAAGACTGCCATTTGGTACCTCAGGTGCGAGCCGGTTGCGATGCACCACCCAGCGAGCAGATGACAAGGTTGTAGATGACAGGGGTATGCCTTTGAAAAGGCCCTTTCGGGCTCCTGGCTATCGTCAGGTTCGGTGGTTAGACCCCCCTAGCACCCACACCAACCATCTCAGGAGTAGTTGGAGGCCTAGGAAAACGAGGGCACAGTCTGGCGTTGCGATGAGTTGAGTTGGGGACAATCTTGGGAGGGCGAGGAGAAGCTTCCAATACTGGTGAAGCTTACTGCGATTGAACGGAACTTTGAAGGACAACAAGGAAGACCTGAAGACCCTGATTCAGACTGGTCAACTCATGTCAAGACACTAGGCTCAGAGTAGATACCAGGTAGATACCACAAACTCCTGCATACAGATTGATTGAAGCCTCTTAGGAGGATTGGTGCCATCTCTTACTGTAATTTATTTGTTGCATTTGCATATACATGCAGTCGATCATTGCTGTTGCTGGGCATATTGGCTTACCCGGCTCTCGGTGGCTGACCCCAACTTGAAACCCCCAACCCTCAGGTCTTTCCAAGGTCCCTGACCATCTCCGTCCCTTCTGACCATCTCCTTCGCACAGCGTCGCAACACACGTCGCATGGTTCTGCGCTGTCGCGTGCGGATCGTTTCTCTCCGGCCCTGCTGCGACCTGGCCGCGGCGGCAGACCTGGCCAGGTCTATTACATCTTCCAAGAGGGAAACCCTGAGGATCGAAGACTCTGCCGCCATGTGCTGAATATGACCGATGCAGCTGAGCAGTTTCCCAAGTTGATGCAACGCTATGGCTTGGAACACGTGACGTTGGGGGGCCATGATCATCTCTATCACGATCGGTGTGAGAAGAGTCCTGGAAAGAATCACGACCCGGTGTTGGGGACGTACATGGAACCTGATTCGGGCTTGGCATGGGCGACGCGACCGGCATGGACCCAGAACCTGGAAGACGACCTTTCCTCCTAGGTCCTAGGTGTCAGCCGGTTTTCAGGTTCCATGTGTCAGCCGGCCACCGGTCACCGGGTTCGCCGCCGGTGTCGCAAGGGTTGCCGGGCGGCGCGGACCGAGGGAGCTGGCCTGCAGTTCTTCCCCACCCAGACACAACTGATGGGACTGCCATTTACCAGGACCCCCGGACCAGGGGTGTCTATTGATAGCCATTAGGGGTTCAGGGGTGTCCATGAACCACCCCTTGTGGGTCCTAGTATATGCCGATCAGGCCAGGGGTGGTGCCAGGGGGTCTGGCTTGATCGGCAGTCCCATATGGCAGTCCCATCAGTCATGGGAGCCATGAAAAGTGCCAGGGAGCCGGGTTTCTCACCCCGACAGCGGACCGGGTGAATGGACACCTGGACCGCCAGGACCGGGGTGGTGAATGGACACCCCGACTGACCTCCCTGAGGGGCTATTCATGGACACCCGGAATCCGTGGGTTTTGGATGTTTTTAGTGCACAGAAACTTGTGACACGAACTCTTTGTGTTTCGGAAAGGTTCATAGTTGTTTCGATGAGCAGATGAATTTCCACCTAAATTTCAGTTTGTGGGCTCATACCTTCATGATTTGCTGTTCTTCCTCCTGGAGGGATGCGGATGTAGGATGTCGTGACCAGTGTTCGATGGTGCGGACCAAGAACACAAACAGTACACAACAGGACCAACACATCACATGGTTACGTGGATGGGGTCCCGAAAGGAAGACGACTTTCCTTCCCTAGGGATCCAAGTACCTTCTCAGGTACGGTGATTGGAGGCACTGTTATGTAGGTTTGGAGGGTCCAAGTACCTTCTGAGAAGGTACTTGGATCCCTAGGGCTTTAAACGAACAGGGGGTGAGCACCTCCACTTGTCGTGTTCGTTAGTCCCTATGTATCCACTGCCACCTTCTGAGGTACAGTGAGCAAGGACACTCTTTGATGATCTTTTATGAAGGTATCCACGTACCTTACTTCTGAGAATGCATGTTCATCCATATATGGGAGTGTAAGGGAACCGCGAGTGATGGCATGTGACCACGGAGTTCATTGCGCTGAGAAATGAGTTGTTTCTTAAGGAAAAAGCTCTGAATGATCTGGGGGTTAGTAGGAACCATGGTTTCCATTGTTTCGCCCTGGAAGATTATCATGGAATCTGAAACCCGAGGGTCCATTTTCAGGTTCCATGTTGGTCTTATATATATATATATATACACTCCCGAAAACTAACATGGACCCTGAGAATGGCACCCTGACTGTTTTCCTCTACAAGCATCTACAAGCCAATTATGTTCAGAGTCCATGTTAGTTTCCAGCAGGGTATATATACCAGGACCCCCTAAGGGGGTTGTGTTGATAGCCCCTTAGTCGGGGTGTCCATTAACCACCCCATGTGGGTCCTGGTGTATATACTGTACATGTCACTTAAAGCATCCTTAAGCCACTCCATGGAGTGATATGGAGTAATATGGTATGTACAGCGCTTCAGGTGAATCAGGCGGTTTGTGTCGGATTTCCTTCGTTGATCGGAACGCCATAAGCCACTCAGGTCACAGGGTTATTGATGAGCCTTGGTTCATAGGTGTTCTTGTCCTGAAGCAGGAAATATGTGGGACGGGTACAGCTACACTATTCAAACTCTTTTGTGGATAGCCATTGCATGTGGCTTTGCCAGGTGTGAGAATATGAGGTATAATTGACATATTACATTTATTGTAATATAGTCTTCAGGATTGGAGCCTATAGTTGCATGTGTTTTCGCTTCTTTGTAGTCAAGGATTGTGCCGACCGCGAAGACGATTGAGCTGGTGAAGCAGTTCTACCGTCAAGACTACGCAGCCTTTGGCTTTGTTTAGCCATGAAAGCCTCACGCGGAGAAGTGAAGCCTGGAACTTCATGGCGCAGCTGTGGCGCGCACAGGTCTTTGGAGTAGAGTTCTTCAATGAGTCGACAGAAGTTGGCGATGAGTCGCCAGAGATGGCGGAAAATAGGTCTCGCCTGGTGCATGTTTTGTTGGGGTGATGAGTATGATCATGTTGTTTTTGTGTTGGCTGTTTCTGCATGCAGTGTTGGCAACCATGTGTGATTGTGATTCCCATCACCGCATTCCATTGTTTTCATTGTTATTACTTTGTTTACTTTTTCCGGCGTTCCAGGTTGATTTGCTCCAAAAGAGGTCATGAGAATCCATCCGCTCAGGCGCCACTTGATCTCCAATGATCAGGTCAAGCATGATCCCTACACCGACTTCGTCGTACCTCCTCAACGGTTCGGTATGACTGGACGTACCTCCCTGGCACCCGGGAAGGTCCTTGGAGGCCTAGGGTTGGTCAAGCATGATCATCCCAACACTGAAGGAAGTTCGTCCGACCCCCGGCCCAGTTCGCTCAGTTCGTCGGAGGGTCTTCCGAGCTCCAGTTCGTCGGACGAGTTCAGTGGATGAAGTCAGTGTTTCACTGGTGGCACCGGATTGACATATGGTATGTCCATATATACCTTATATAAGTGGTATTTACATCAGAAACTTGTGGGAAAAAACTGAACATATGACCAGGTGCGGCTGGGTGCGACCGGACGGTACCTACTGAGCTACTGTACCGGACACGATGGCGGCGAAGATGGTCCAGCAATGGCACCGAAGAGGATGACCTATCCCAGACACGACCCGTCTGGGACTGCCATGACGGACTGCCGAGAAACGGCCAGGGGTGGTGCCAGGGGGGTCTGTTTGGGGCGGCAGTCCGTCAGTCCCAGGTCCGGGTCCTGTCTGGGAGTGAGGTTTCAGTGAGTCAAAATAACATCTATTGGCTCGTATATACGGGCCCATAGCCCTAGGCCCTAGGGCCATATAAATCCACCAATTCCAAGTGGCCCTCCAAACACGATGTGCTTGGCCGGACCGAGCCATCGCTCCACTGCGTCCCTCTGAGGATGTGGTATGTCCATCCGCCCACGTCCGAGCTCACGGAGGATTCCATTACACAAGGTGCGGAGGATCCGCCGGGTTTGTGGATGACATGTTTCGGTCCGATTCGGCCCTATAGTGGGCGACAGGTCCGATTCGGACATTGGGACCTTGCGGCCGGTGCATTGATATATGTCTAATAGTTATTATAGTTGGATTTGTTCTTCATTGCAGGTAAGTCTCAGGAAGCACACCAGAGGATTAGAGCACGATTTGATCACATAATGTATTGAATTTCGTAGCGAAGACATGTGTTCGGGCTCGCTGCATTCTCTTTGTTTGGACACCTTTATTCAGCACCCCCTTTAATGCTGAAGGCTTATCATATAGATGTTATATTTGTACCTTGTTCTAGGGCATCTACAGGTATGAAGACTTCTTTGGCCTATGCTTGGGGACAGGCTTGGCGTTTACTAGGTGTACGGTGTACCCATGGGTCATTGTCTTACGGACGGAGTTCTCTCAGGATGTTTGACAGCACCCGAGAGATATATACAGATCCAAAGCACAGGTGTTTGGGGTTGATGTTAGTGCCACATTTGATGAATCAAGAGTAGAGTTGCTTTACAGGAAACCATATGGATTTCACCAGCAAACCTTCGTTTGGTTCTCCTGTAGGCTTTCCCTGTTTGCCACTTCTGAGACACATCCGTATACAGGTCAAAGACCTAACTTTGGAATGGATCATGCAAGTGCAGCACGGCTTATACCTGGACCCCACACTACCTATAGGCTTCCAGACAGGGCACCCCTTGGAGGGTCCTGGTATAATAGGGCTTAATGAGGTATACCACTTCTTAAGAACAAAAACCACGGTAATTCTTACCCAAATTGGCTGCACGTTGACCGTCTTTTCCACCGACTCGGACTCCGAGTCGTAGCGTCGGAGAGGCTTTGTCGCTTACAAGAAGCAAGATGCTTGGAGGAAAGTATCCCGGCCTAGGGCTCCAGTTGTACCTCGTCAGGTTTGGTATGACTGGACATATTTGGAGCCTCCTGGCCCCTACCCCAGTCCCACCTTCTTAGAAGGTTCGACTGGAGCCCTGCGGTATAGGTCATCCCGAAAGGAATGACTGATGCGACGGAAGGAATGACGGTGGCTAAGAGACCTTACCGGTGGCTGAGAGACCTTTTGGATCGCCATGGTACCTATGTGGCTTCGCACAAGTCATAGAGGAGGCTCTGGTTGGACAGTTGGAGGCTCTCCTAGCAAGTATTGGTAGAGATAGATGGACATGGTCAAGCAACTTGATGTTCACATGGATGTATGTCAACTGGAATCAACTGGACATCATTTACCATATCCCTGCACCTCCGGTCGTACCGAAACGAATTCCGCTTCGGTCTGACGACCGACGTGCCGAACCGCTGGCACCCGCCAAACCCCTGGTCGTCAGAGAGGTTCGGTACGACGCAGCGGTCGGCCGAGACCTCGGGTCACACATCACCGGTTCGCCAAGAGAGGTGGTTAAGGGACCTGAACTAGGACCCACCTATGGGTCCTTCAACCTCTCTAGGGTCCTTATAACCTCTCTTAAGGATCCTTACCTATGGGATCTTATAGGATCCTTACCTATGGGATGGTCTATAGGGTCCTTCAACCTGTGTTGGCGCCTCCGAGGAGTTGACCTGTCAATCTCCCGATGACGAGGACGAGCCGGTCAAGGAATCGGGCGAGCTGTGAGGGCTGGTCGACCCGACCAGCCCTGCCGTGCGAGCGAGGCGATGAGGAAAGGATCCTGACTCGAAGCCAGCTGATCAGTTGATAGTTGATCACGGATTCAATCACCTCAGTGCGTGCGAGAAACACATAGAAAAACACTGTTTCATGTACAATATTGATCAATATTGTACAATGACAATGAGTTGTTTCTTGAAAACAAATTGTTTACCTGTCGCTTATGCCGTGGGAGAAAACACAAATGTTTGGGGGAACATCTTTGGAACACATTTAGGACTTGTTACATTTGTTACGTTGATTGAGGAGAGCTCGGAGAAGAAACGCATACCCCATTATCTCGAATCAGTTAGTTCGTTCTAATAATGCTAGAGTGGAAGGGTTGGTTCCCGAGCGCCTCGGAAGCTGTCGCCATCGCGCACACTCCCGCGGAACAACGCGAGCGCCGAGGGCGACCAAGGGCCGGATAGGGTGAACAGCGTCAAAGCTACGCGGAAAAAAGACGAGAGCGGCCTGGTGAGAGCTTTCGATTGGTCATTGCGAACTTGAGTGAGTTTGAGGGAACTCGGAAACCGGTTCAACCCAAGGAACCCGGCCGATGTTTTTTCAGAAGGTCCTTGGAGCCTGGAAACGCAGACGTCGTGCATTCTGGATAGGATAGGTCTACGCCATCACCGTTGGTGCGTCCAGGGCCCCCCCTGGTCATAGAAACAGTCCACTCCTTGGATCCACTCGGACCCCAAAAGTGGCTTCGAAAGAGTCTCAGCTACCTGGAGTCGACCTGGAGTCCTTCGTATCTGGGAAAAGGAAGAACTCGTACATCCGTACCGTACCTGTTTTTTTTCTTTTTTTTGATGGGATCAGACGTTTCATGATATCTAAGGTACTGGGTCAGTCGGGTCCAGGTATATACCAGCACCTGAAAGAAGGGGGTCTCCAATAGACTCCCCTACACTACTCACTACTCAGGGATCTCCATTGAGCACCCCCTTTGAAGGTCCAGGTATCAATTTTTTTTAATCATAATCCCTCTATTACCATCACCCTATACCCAAAGTGGCAGGTGATGACCTGGCAGAGTTGGTAGATGACTCGAGTCCAGCGAGTGTTCCTCACACCTTGTTCAACTACAAACGAAGACTCGGGGATCGTGGAGGCCACCATTCGCAGGCCGTTTTGGGGAGAGGGGAGAGGCAGGGGCACAAGTCCTAGACTAGCAACCCTCCAACAGGTCAATTGAGATCTCTAACAGGGGCCTAACTTAACTAACAACCCTCCATTTCGGAGACCTCTATTCTTCCTCGGGTGCTGGGGCCAGGTTTCTGTTTTGGCCGTAGAAGGGGCACTCCCCTTCACCCAATACCCAAACACTCCATGGGACTGGCATAGGACTGCCGATCAGGCCAGGGGTGGTGCCAGAGGGGTCTGGCTTGATCGGCATATCCAGCCCCATGGAGTTCCCTGGGATAGGGAACCACCACCAGCCTTCGGAGGGCGCTGGACTGAGGCAATGCCAATGCCAGTCTTCGTGACGAGGGCCGGGGCGGCTGTGCGGGAACCTCCCCGCAGGACCTGGTCGGTGCGGTTCCGTTCCGAACGCCATGGGAGCCGCTGAATCCATCGGTGGAGCCGGAATCTGGAGGATGCAATGGGATCTCTTGAGGTGTTCCCGAGCAAGGAGTGAAGGGAACCCAGTGCACCCCAGGCAGTTCCCACGAGTAGTAAGGAACCAGGGATTCGGAACCGGTCTATGGTTTTAGTCGTCGAACTGGAACCACGACGGGACTCCCAGCGAGCTCTCGTGGGTTGCCTGCCTGGATGGTTTGGGGAAGCTTTTGGCGTACCTTCCAAGTATCTTCTGAGGAGGATTGGGCCCACCAATGGACAGTCAGGGTTTCGTCCGGTCTGGTACTGAGACGATGGCTTGAGGGCCTGCCAGCGAATGGCAGTGCGGAGACGCGACGCTCGCCAAGCATGGACTTGGAATAACTATAGATTTTACACTCCAAGAGCAACCATTTTGTACATATAGCCTTGGAAGAATAGGAAGAGAGTAATTATCCCGAAACTGACTAGTGATGATTTAATGGGAGGTCAGGTTTGCACATTGCTCGTGGAAAAAAGGACGTGGATCAGGCGAAAAGACAAGCACCTGGAAATTCCACCCTCCGGTCCTTTCGAAGATTCCCAGATGAGATACCCTGAGGATCCCGACACCTTCGCAGGGGTCGAACCCTTTATAACTACAGGGTTGGTCAAACCCGTGTTTTTGAGGGTCCGGGTCCGTCAGGTCTAGACCGACTCTGCCTTGTCAAACCCCCGGAAGGGTGGCCAGACCTACGGATGGAGAGTCAAGGCACCCCCACAAGGGGCCGGTGATTAGAAGCGCAGGAAGGCCGGTGTGCGTGGAGAATGGGAAGCGGCCAGACCTAATCAGCCCTAACCCTAGGCCTCCAGTCGTACCGAACCTGAGAAGGTGGGACTGGGTGCCAGGATACGACAGTGCGGTGTAGGGTCAATGAGGTGACAGTGACCAGTGGCGCCGACCGTGCCAGTCCGGTACCCCACCGGAGTCCACACCACGACTTATCACACCCGTGGTACCGCTGCGAACAGGCGAGGCAGGTGAGGCAGTCTGGTGTTTTACTCCCCATAAAAGACATGTGACAACATACCAGCACCTTCATGTCGGGGTCACCTGGCTGGTTCCGGCCCAGCCCACTACGTACCAGGGACCTCCAGACGTCGGACACCCCGAAAGAAGGTCCAGGTCGTCATGGTTACGTGGATGGCACCAGTTTTGGGTCTGACAATGGTCCTCCTGTCGGGGTTATGCCATCCACTGTTTCATGATCATTTCGGGGAGTGTATAGTATAGTGGTTTCAGAGGTTCGATGGTGCAACATCAAAGTGGTTGGTTCATATTCCAGGACCTTCCAACAGGTCACCACCTGCGACTACCTAAAGCACTTACATTTCAGCCTCCAGCCATCGGAGATCTGGTTTCGGTGCGTTGACCATGTGTTCCTCTTGGGATGCCAGCTGACAGGAGGCGGAGAAGGACCGGTCCATGGAGGAGACCATGAAACCCTTGTCCCAGGCCGTGGGCGGCAGAAGGAGCTACAAGTTTAAGTTACTCCCTAGAAGTCCAGTTCGACTATATGTTGACCGGCTGAAGGATCCAGGATATTCCTTGACTCGGGTCACCGTTCGTCAGACCATTGTCTTTTTATAGTCTTTGACTCTCAGGGTACTTATATAAGGACATCTGTTGGACATTTGCAGGTTAGTTGTTTGGAGGTGGTTCTGCGATGGTTCTGAGGATTGGTGGAATCACCTACCAGAAAAACAACAGTACAGCTGTTTGGACGATTGGGCACGCCCCACTCAACAACGGCGTCCGGTGATGGCACCGTTGGGGGGCAGCAAAGAGCGGGATGGAGAGGTGGATCCTGGTGGATTTGTTTTTTTTCGGGTTTCATTCGCATCATGTTGCACTGCTAGTCACCAGAAGCTACGACCGGGGATCCTGGCCTACTAATTAGGGGCTTCTTGCATCGCTACGAGGAGCAAGAAGCTTGCATGTTTCTCTATTGCATCATGAAGATCATGGTCAATTTTGCATCATTTGGTAATCAGAGTGCCTACCAGCCCGAACATGAAAAAGGTCTCCGAAATGGTGGCTGAAATGGAGAGTCAGGTGATGGATTGGTTGGGTTGTGTTAGTGACTTGTTCTCATTTTGTTTCGATGTTGGCATTGGGTTCATTTGCATCACCTACTGGTGATTTTGAGATGAGATGAGATGAGTCTTGCATTGAAGCGATCCAATTGTTCGGGTTATTCTTTGCCATTCTCAGATGAAAGTTCCCAGATGATCCCAGGAATCCCAGATGTGTTTTTCAGTTGTCCCAACCTGGAGTTGCGAAAGGCACCTGCTGAAGCTCCCGAAGAAGAAACATAAAAGACCACCAGAGATTCGAGATGAAAGTGCTACCCAGCACCCCCCTGGAGGCATTCTCCTCAAAAAAGAGGCCACTTGACTGTTGGGAGGCGCATTTTTCCAGTCGTATATTATTCGTCTCGCTTCGGTGTAGCGCCGCGTGGTGGGTGCCAGGAGGGTCTAAGTCTATCCCTAGGGCTCCTGGCCCACCTCCTCAGAGTGTAGTTAGACCCGCCAGACCCACCCCTGGCCCACCGAACCTCAAGAGCTGGGCCAGGAGCCCTAGGGTATATAAGTACCAGCACCTTCCTGTCGGCGTCACCTGGCTGGTTCCGCCCCAGCCCCCGCCTACTACTCAGGGATCTCCATACCCCTAGGCCTCCAGTCATACCTTCTGAGGTTCGGTGGGACGACCGGGGCCCGGGTGCCAGGGTCGGGTCCAGTCATACCTTCGTTTCGTTTCGGTACGACTGGAGGTGTAGGGTATACTCCGTGCTGAATCAACGATCGTGCTCAGATCTACAACGATCGCACGACCGGGCTGATGGGGTGCCCCTTGACCGCTGGGCAGCCCAGCGGGCTTCCGGAAAAGGAGCGGAGGGGGGATCTGGCAGATGTGGCCCATTTCGAAGTGAACAACCATAAACATAACGTGGTTTTGCTTAGTAGTTAGTAGAGTTATTCTTATTGTCCTTTTGTGGGTGAATGGACAGAAACCAATTCCTTCAAATTATAATATGGACCCTAGGCCTCCGGTCGTACCTTCTGAGAAGGTTTTTGGGGTGGGTGCCAGGCTCGATGTTCGGGGTTCGTTTGCCCTGCGGCCGATGTGGGACACGGCGAACCGTGTGGGAACTCATCACGGCCCCGCGGCCCGAAGCACGCGGCCGAAGTGGAGATGGTTTCGCCCGGTCCAAGGGGACCGAAAAAAGCGCCTGCTCCAAGGGGATATGACCACATCATGCTACACAGAGAGAGAGAGAGAGTGAGAACGTGTGTGTGTGTGTGTGTGTGTGTGTCCACCCCTGGACAAAGGGTTCTCAACCAACTTCGGCAGGGGCACTGAGCACTCCTTGGCAAACTCAGTGCAACGAAGCTATGCCTTGGAGTGGGAAGCACGGATTGATCACCCGTGTGTACCTGCAACAATTTGGAACTGTTGAACACGCTGTCCAATGTGCTCTTTTTGTTTCCATGGTTCTTCATGATACCTCCCACAAACCCACCGCCGTCTTGCGCCGCTTTGCAGCCGACTTTGAGTGTCAGATCGTTTTCGAGTGCAGCTGCCAACACTGTTCAACAATACGGTTTTTGCGGACTTATGCACCTTTCCGTTCCCTCGCCTTCCTTCCCAACGTGGGAACTGAGTCACTGAAAACCAATGTCAGAGTGTGTTTCGCTCAGCCGTCCCACGAGTGTGATCCCCGTCACAGGGGCGCCGTTTTTGCATAGGAAATCATCCACCCCAACTTGCCACCTACCACTGGATTTCCACTGGAAGTCATTGTCACATCCATAGAATCAACTGATGCATTGGCCGCCGGGCCCAAAAACGGGATTACTTCGACAGCCGCCGGGCTATAAAACGGTGCGGTGCTCAACCCCCAATGAGGCAGGTTCCCCAACCACCCCCCCGCTGAGTTCTACTCCCTACCTATTTAGGGCAACATAGGGAAATGGTACTCGACACACTTGTGTGTCGGTGCCTTTCCCTGTGTTGTTCCTTTTCTAGTCTTTCCTACCCGGGCGGTCTAAGACTAAAGTCCCGCTTCCTAGCTATTGCACCCAATTCATTTCTGCTAAGTAATCAGTAATTCTAGAGGGCTAAGTATTCATACACACACACACGGACACACACATGTACATACACTTCCCTGCCCCCCGCTTTTCTTCTTACGCCTTCGGTCGTTTCTTGGGCTTTCTCTCAGGCTTTTTAGGTTGTTCTTGAGGCTCGTTTCCCTACCCCAGTCAAGGGCTAAGTAGTCATTTTTCCTACACCTATCTTTCTTTCTTCCCCTCTTAGCGCTGCTCTTTCTGTCTTTCTTTCTTTTTGTTTCTAAGGCTTTTTAGGTGACTATTTAGGTTTTTCACATGCGCGCCGCGAAGCGGCACCGTGTGTGTGCCACCGTTCTTTGAAAAAAGCGCCGAAGCCGGCGATTTGTGTGTGTCCACCCCTGGACAAAAGGGTTCAACCAACTTCGGCAGGGGCACTGAGCACTCCTTGGCAAACTCAGTGCAACGAAGCTATGCCTTGGAGTGGGAAGCACGGATTGATCACCCGTGTGTACCTGCAACAATTTGGAACTGTTGAACACGCTGTCCAATGTGCCCTTTTTGTTTCCATGGTTCTTCATGATACCTCCCACAAACCCACCGCCGTCTTGCGCCGCTTTGCAGCCGACTTTGAGTGTCAGATCGTTTTCGAGTGCAGCTGCCAACACTGTTCAACAATACGGTTTTTGCGGACTTATGCACCTTTCCGTTCCCTCGCCTTCCTTCCCAACGTGGGAACTGAGTCACTGAAAACCAATGTCAGAGTGTGATAGAATCTAACATGGATGTGCTTGAGGCGCCATCAGCGCCCTAAAGAAGCATATTTGCCTTGCCTACATCAAGCGACACCGGTGGCGAGCTACAGACCGAGACACATCAAAAATCCCATGCTCCACCGGAGAATGTGACTGACATGAACCTCATTCAGGAGGGAGCTCCTTCTTTGCATGATTGTTCCCAACTTACGCTCAGGGAGTCGCTCAGGGGTGTTTTTGATTCGAATACTCCACCGACACCACCAAACTGTTAAAGGACACCGCCTTGTCACTGGAAAAAGACGAGTTCTTTCAATCATTCAACAGCTTGCCTGGGGTCAAGAAGCTGACGGCTCATGAGCTCAAGTAGAAGGACCATCCTCCAATTTCTCCAGAGCAAGAGAATTAATTGATATTAATTGACTGTCGCCATGTGATGGTCACTCCCCCAGCTCTTTTTGATTTTGCTTGCATGGGAGCCAATCTTGCAGAGGGCATCTTTCAGTACCTGCATTCTACCCCAATGTTGGAGTCAGAGCAGGAGCTGGTAGTCAGCAACGTTCAAGACGATGAAGAGGTGTGAGTGCAGCCCAGTGTTGGACGACAGCAGCCTGGAGTTGTACTCTTTGTGCACTTCGGTGGAAGCACTGGTGCGGCTTCTCTACGCAATTTTGCTGCGTACCACTTTTAGCGGGGCTGGCCTTCCGTCAATGCTCTTGTCGCACCAGCGATGCCGTTTCCGGGAGGCCGTGCTGTCGAAGAACAACAAGGAAGGGTTTTCACACAGATTGGCAAGTTCCAATTGGGAAGCGCCACACCAGAGGTCCGTGTGGCGTGGGGCCAGAGTGGCAAATACAACATGGCACGAGTGTCAGCCGAGCGCATTTGCGAAGCTGTCAACAGTGGGCACATCTTTCTCCCAGTGTGCATTGCCTTAGACTTCTCAAAGTGGAACTTGAAAATGTCTATGAAAAAACACTGGCGGGATATATTCCTGGACAACATGTACAACACCGATGAAGGCTTGGGCAGCTTACACCCGCCACCACCTTTTCTAATAGTCTCTGATGCCACTTTGGCCTCACCTGTTAGGAAGGAATGCACATTCTGGAGCCCAGGCCATCCATATGGCACTGCAAAAGGTAACCGCACATTTACGATGTTTTGTTCCATTATGTTCCAACCTTGTTACCCATCCGTTCACAGAACCCGTTCCAGTTTAGCTCCATGTGTCATGCCCAGATGCTCCATGTATGGTGCACTCGGTGACACCTTTCTGGCATGGTTCGGAGCACATCCCCGCATGCTGTTTCGGAGTCATACATAGTGGCTCAAAATGGCTCAATTTGTTTGTTTGTTTTTAGGAGTTATTGTATTTGTTTGCTTCTGGCTTCTGTGGCTTTTGGCGTTTGTGGCTTCTGTGGCTTTTGCCGTTCGTGGATTCTGTGTGGCTTTTGGCTATTAAGGAAGGAAGGAAGCTTTCGTGGCTTCTGGATTCTGTGGCCTTTTGTTGTCTGGTTTGTGCTGCTCGACTGTGCTATCTTATCTATCTTATCTTGTTTGATATCTTACCTTATATCTTATCCATCCACCGATACATTGATCTATCGACCTATCGACCTTATCTTAGCTTATCTTATCTTGTCTTACCTTACTATCTATCTATCTATTTATCTATCTGTATTTATATGTTTTCCTACTTTACCTTACTTTACCTTACCTGACCTAACCTAACCTTACCTAACTATCTATCCCTCTATTTATCTATCAATCAATCTAATCTAGCCTAATCTCATCTAATCCTATCCATTTCTTATCTTATTTTATCCTGTCCTATCCTATTTTTCTACTGCAATCTAATCTAACCTAACCTCATCTAATCTAGTTCTATCCAATCCTTTCCTTTCCTTGTCTATCTATCTATCTATCTACTTGTTTATCTATCTGTAAACGAACACAACGGAAAAATGATAGAAACCATAGAAAATGAAAGGAACCATTAAAAACTGATGTGTTTCAGAGTTTCAGTAAAACTAAGGAAAACCAGTGGAAAATTCAGAAAAGATCAAGGACAATCCATTCCCACGTACTGTACCTCTTCGAACTCTGCACATGGAAGTAAAGCCGCTCCAATCCCTTGCACCTGCCACCCCCCCACAAAAAAGAAAAAAAATCCAAAAGTAAAACAATATAATTAAAACTAAATCCAAACCCCTGAGTGACTGAGTGAGCAGACCTTCCATGCCAGCTGGCTGGACGAATGGCAAAAGCCCAGAAACCTCGACAGCACAGACCGTTTTCACCTTTGGTGTTGTTTAGGCTTTCCTCCTACATGTCACAATGCTGCCCGAACCTTTCGTCCTGCACGTCGAGCTCTACGTCATGGACTTGCACGGCCTCTGCAACAATGAGCCTAGCACACAAACAGTCCCAGCGGGCATCCAATTCTTCACACCTTCTCCCTGTGAAGTCCATCACTCCACCACCCACTGCCCTCATGATCCCACGACGCCGGACCGGAGGTGAAAACCCTGACCTCGTCGGAGCCTGCCTTGACCCCCGTTCCATGGAAGGTTGCATTAGGTGACCCGATCTTACCCGTTTGGGTTCCTGGCCCACCTCCTGAGGTGACCGGTGGTTGGGGTGGGTGCTAGGGGGGTCTAACCACCGAACCTGAGGATGTGGTTGGAGCCCTAGGGTTAAAACAAGATACCCAGACACGACCCGGACCTGGGACTGCCGATTCGATGCCGAGTGGCACGGGCGTTCGGGGTGATGCCAGGGCGGTCTGGCTTGATAGGCAGTCCGTCCTGGCAGTCCCAGACAGGTCGTGCCTGGGATATACGATGGATTGATAGGGATTTGGGCCAATGGGATGGGATCCTTCCCCTGTCTCCTGCCCAGGTGCCCAAGTACTCCCAGCGCTTGAAGCACTCGGAGAGCCCCCCACCCGAGCGGCGGCGCGTCAGCCCTCGCCCCGCACCACAGAAGGCGGGGAGACCCGGCAACTCGCGGGGCGGAGAGGAAGCAGAGCGGAAGCAGCTAAGCAGGTGCAAGGTGACAGGGTAGTCAAGAAGGGGGGGATCTGTGAAGGTGTAATCCAAACCCAGACATGACTTCCATGGGACTGGCATATGCTCCATACATTGACAATATGCTAATTGACTGGCAAAGATGCTATAAATGGGAGTGTTTGGGAAATGCCATCCATTCTGCAGGGCCGCCTGCTTGCGCAAGCGAAGGAACCCCCCATTTATTTCCACGCGATGTACTGATACGAGTCAGCAGGTGCTTGCAGGAACCCCCCATCTCACCTGTTTGGGATGGTCCTTGTCGAAGGCCATGGTACCAATCCCAGACCATCCATGGGACTGCCATAGGACTGCCGATCAATTGACCCCTCTGGCACCACCCCAACTGATCGGCATATATGGTAGTCCCATGGAGCGTTTGGGAATTGTCGAGTTCTGGATTCCGTCTAGCCGGGCGAGTTGGACTTGTGAACTTTTCCCTCTCCGAACTGGGTGAATCCCTGGGAAGCGGTTCGGGACGGCCGAAGCCGATCAGTTGGGGCAAGACAAAACAGGCGCTTGGGTCTGGGGCGGCTCACTCTCTCACCAGTCCTTCTGGCCGGTGGCTTACTCTCGCACCGGATCAGGTGAATTAGGTTATCCCCTTGACTCACTGACTAGCATGGGACCCCGGGTCCAGATCACGATGGGACCCGTTGCTTCAAGAAGAAACTCCTTTTCCAGCTTCCATTTCTCCGGGTTCGTGATATTTGGCTTTCGGGTCACCAAGACGGTCTGGTGTTTTTCGAGAGCTGGCTGCATCGGACTCAAAAAGGTTTCGGTTTAGTTGTGCTGCACGTGGGCAGCCAGGCGACATCAGGCGAAATCGACGCACTCCACCGCTCCACGGTCCGTGGTGGCAGTGTCCGTCTCCACGGTTTTTCACCGCCTCCACCGCTCTCGGCGAGGACTTCGACCGAGCATGGGAGCGATGTCATCAAGACCTTTATGAGGCGACCGGTGTCGACGGTGTCGACGTCCGCGGTCTGTCCTGTACCCTCCCACAGGCTGTCGGCACGGGAGTGGCATGAGGAGTGGCACGACCACCGTCCCTTAGCCCTTCGATTTTGCGACACCCATCGAAAAGACCCGAAAGAGGCCAGAAAAAAGCCCGGACCATTCCCGACACCTCCAAGTACCTCCTCAGAAGGTATTGGAACCCTCCAAACCCAGAAGGTACTTGGGAGGCCTAGGGATTCATCCAAGAAGTTACGAACTGAAGAGGCAGATTCGTGGGCCTTCCATGGCGAGGTCATGCGAGGTGGAAGATCGAGCGACGACGTTCCAGCGACACGTGCGACACCTCGGTGTTGGAGGATGCCTTTGCACGGCAGCAGCGGCTGCGGGACATGCAGTCCTATGTGAAGCAGATGGAGGAGAGTGGGAGGTGAACCTGGGCCTTGGTCCCAGAAAGTCCCATCGACTTTGAAGAACCCTAGGCCTCCAAGCACCTTGGGGTGGGTGCCAGGAGGGTCCAGGTACGACTGGAGGTGTAGGGGAAGGGTCAGAGAAAGCCTGTGGGGGTTGAAACCAGACCCACCCAGTCCACCAGTCGCATCGTGGCGAGTTGGGCTGGACACCAGAGAGGTCAAGGGGTCGGTATTCTGGTGCAGTGACCATCCGCAGACAGACTGACACTCCCTTCCGTACCACTGGAAGTGGATGGCACCATCTGCGCATGGACGGAGATTCATGTTCATCCGAAAAACTGGGCCAGCGGCCATGTAACGGTGACCTGGTTTTGCTAATGTTTGTGCTATGTTTTGCTTATAGGGCTATTTTGTTTAATTGTCCGGTGGCCCTATGGTTAAATTCCCTTCTGGTGAGTAGTTGATATTTTCCAGGTTCTTTAATCAAATCCAAGGTCCAAGATGAGGACGTTGGAGGGAGTGTAGTTTTCTCACGTTTGGGATGATTTCTTGAGACCGGGAGGCCTCAAATCTTCAGCTTCGTTTGAGTGCATCATTCCCTGGTGTGGAAGCTGGAGATGTCTTCATAGTCTCTTCATAGTCACGTTGTTCACTGGGATTTGGGGAGGTGAATAATGAAGAGTCAGCAGTAAGTAGGCTATAAGTAGCTATCCCCTATACTTGTGGCTCTATGGATATGAACAAGTAAGGAGGATAGTAGGCTGCTGTTTTTGATGTCCCACAGATGGCATGATGTTTTATTGTTTAAACTTCGGCGATCCGGGATCGAATGCAGCACGGCCTGGGGGCCCTGGCCCGCGCACCTGCGGAACCGTCAGATGACATGTGTTACGTTGTGTTACGTTGTTATTTCTTGCATGTAAAACATCAGCAAGAGTCATGGGTTTGCCTAGAACTTTCACTTACATCTGAGTAAGAGTTTCACTTCAGATGGTTTGCACTTACATCTGGAGTGCAGCAAACAGGCTGCTGAATTCATTCATTCATCGATGACCGGCGAATCCGTCACCACATGACGGATTCGCCGGCCCGGGCGTGTCCCAGTCAAGCGGTTTGTGGCAGTCGGAGTTCACAAGAACGTCACACTGAACCAATCATCCACGGGTATAGTGGCAATGGGGCATTCGATGAGATTCGCAAGGCAGGCAGTCTATAATTGTGTCAGATCAGCCAGCTTTGCAGGAGGATGATCACAAGGACCGCATGATGAAGTGTCAAGAAGGCATTAAGCATCCTGGCCGTGACCTTTGGGGTCTAAGCTTTAGGGTTCCAGTCGTTCCTCCGAAACGAGGCGTTGATATACCCCTAGGGCTCCAGTCGTACCTCCTCAGGTTCGATATGACTGGACATATTTGGAGCCACCTGGCACCTACCCCAGTCCCACCTGCTTAGAAGGTACGACTGGAGCCCTCCGGGTACTTGTTCCCTGAGACTCAAAGACTGTATATATATTAAAAGAATGGTCCGACTAGGTGACCCGAAAAGGAATATGATCCTTTACTTCAGCTGAACTGGACTTCTAGACGCGGTAGACGGCACCGGCTGCCACCTTGGAGATACTTGGGTCAAGGATGAGTGTGGGTGTATCTCAGTACCTCCCTGAAATCCAAAGAAAGCAAGAATGGCTGTCTATCTACCCTGGGGGTATATATCCGTTTGAAAGGATCCTAACGTTCTGAACTAGACAATGCTAAACAGAAAATATTAGATATATATATATATATTATATATATATAATACCCTAGGGATCCACATACCTTCTCAGAAGGTACTTGGGCCCTCCAAGCCTACATACATAATCTCCAATCACCTTCTGAGAAGGTACAACTGGATCCCTACAAATAGATTACAGGGGGACTTGAGGCCCCCTTTGCCCATCATAGATCGGCTATCATTCGGCTTGCAAGGTTGGTACAGTCCCCCCAGAACTCCTGGCATGGCCCAATTGCCAAAGACATCCAAAGAACATTTTGGCAAAGACTCAAGTAAATCACCCTGTGTGGCAATTCAGCCAAGAGTCTTGAGGAGGGTATGGCCAAGGGTTCATTTTGAGTGACTAGCCTATATAAGCACGCTATAAGCAGTCAAGAGCGACTGTTGCCCCGCAGGACTCTCGAAGCACGCTTCCTGTTGGGATTCTTGAAGCTCTCCGTCCTATCCTCACAAAGGACGCTACGAACGGGGCTCCTGGCCTTACTATACTAGGAGCAAGAAGCTACGAACGGGGCTCCTGGCATCGCTACGAACGGAGCAAGGACGCTGCTAGGCCAAAGACATCGACCCTTATAGTAACCCTTAGCCCTTTGCTTCCTCACCGGAGCGGCCTGTCCTCGCCCGTTTCGACCGACCAACCCAGGCAGCGGCGGCGGTATTACAGGGGCCGTGCGGTGGAGAACAGTCACCTGGAGCGCGAAGAGGAGTATCACCGCTTCGGGCGCCTCCACCCGACCATAGTGAACCTGATAGTGTCCTTGCTAACTGGATCTAACTTAGAAAATGGGACGTCTGACCCCATAAAAACAGGTAGTTACGACTCTACTCATGTTCCGAGGTACGAACGGGTCGACTCCAGGTACTAACGTAGCTTCTTGTTACTCGTAGCGAGACGGAAGAAGGATGTTGTGGCTGTTTCCAGGTTGAAGAAACAGAGTTTTCCATCATGAAGACTAATGATGAACAATGGTTCGCTGTTAAGACCGCTGTTAGTGGTGACCACAAATTGTCAACTCAAATTTGTTTGAAGAAGAATCCTTGCAGACTTTTTGCCGCTTCTTGCAGTGCTTAACTCCGTGATTCGCAAAGAATCCTGATAACAGATCGTATAACATCCAACCTTCGGGGTGACACCGGGGACCGACAGAGGTTGAAGGACCTTATAGACTATCCCATAGGTACCCCACTTAACCTCTCTTGGGACACCCACTCAAGAAGAACCGGTGGCAGGTTACTCGTTCGGAATGACCAACTGGTCAGGAGAACTTGCGACGGCGGCAGGAGCATCAAGCCAGGCCGAGCGAGCTGAGCTGGGGGGTCGGAGCCGGGCCTCCCTCGCATTGGAGGCTTCACATGTTTGCAGGCTTGGGGGCATGCGGTCAAGATGCTTAACACTGCGAGATCTGAAACTCCTGTCTGTCTTAGCCAGGAAGGAAGCGAAATCACCTCTCCAGAAGTTCCAGACTCCCCAACAAGGACCGATCAGAACCGTGCCTCGGTGAAGAAAGCTAACCGATTCATGTGATCACCCACCCAGCAAGTTAGGACTCTTGGAACCCAAACCGCCTGCCTTTGGGTCCCGGCCGCTTTTCGGCGCGCCCGGTCGTGAGACCGCGGACCGTCCCTCGCTGGGACCGTCAGGTCGCTGCAGGAGCAGCGGATGCGAGAGCTGGATGAGTCGCTCGGGAAGCAGGAGGAGTCGCACGGGAGCACGGCCGGTGGTGCTCGTGTCCAGCATCCTGGTGGTGCGAATGACGGAAGTTCCTGCACTGGGTGAATCCCCTGGGGACCGGGGAATAGGTTTGTATTTTTGTCCCGGTTCCTGAAGCCAAGATGAATAGCCCCAGAAGGGTCTTCGGTGTGCCTGAACCACCCCGACCTGGGGGGTCGTGGAGGGAGGAGCATGCGGTCGAAAGGAGGCACCAGCGCTGGAACGGACGAAGGGTCATCTACCAGCCGCCTCCGAGGTCGACACGTTTAAAGCGTCAGAGGAGACCTGGAGGCTGCTGGTATGGAACATGCTGCCCCATGACAGACCCCTGAAACCTGGGCCAGTATGGCCTGTCTCAAGGATGGTTTGGCTTTGGAACTCCCTTTGCCAGACTGGGGTGGCAGCGGCATGCTGTGGGTATCTGTGGGTGCTGTCCTGCAGACGGAGCGACGAGCTGTGGGTGGGATGCCACTTGTTTCCGGGATGGTTTTCCAGGTTTGGTTTGTGATTTGGTCAGTTCTGTGTGCCGTCGGCGCTGGTATTTACAACGCTTGAGGTGTGTTACTGTCAGAACTGTTTTGTCAGAACAGTCTCTGGCTTGGCGCTGCTTTCTGTGAGGAATTTCCTTAGGATATCCGATAGGGTTTTGGCTTGGGAAGGGGTTCCTGACTGGGTTTCTTTTCTCTTGGCTTCCCAGTGCTTCACCTTTTGGAGCGTTCGCTGCGCTTCGGGTTTCTACGAGCCAGTGAGAGAGGTTTCGCTTTTTGGGGAATCCTTAGCGCTTTGGGGACACATCCATTTGTTTCTGCTTTGTTTGGGGTTCCAGGTTAGGATTTTTCGGGTTTGGTTAGGTTCCTAGGTTCTTAGGGTTATTAGGTGTTGTTGGTTTCCAGGTTATTCTTATGAGTTTTACTTCTTTCGGGTTTCTTTGGGTTTGGCTCAGTGGAGGCACAGGAGTGCTGGGTTTCTTGCGGCTCTTGCTGGCTTGTTGGCTCCCTGCCGGAGTAGACCGAACTGCTGGACCGGAACTGGAAAATAAATCCCTGCAAAAGTGGAGCCAAAGCCAAGCCAAACCCATGTAGGCAACCCTTAAAGGGCTGTTGGACTGCTAGCAGGGTTTGGCTTGGCTTTGGCTCAATCCACGAAACAACTGGGTACCCCTGTGGGTGGTGTTTGGGGGTGGTGGGGCATGTGTTTGAGGGAGTTGCACAATGCATGCATGTATCTGTATTAGTAAGGTACAAAAGGCTCCATTCCCAAGTTGGTTTGGGCATGCTCGAGAAGTATGTGGCTTGCAGCTTGCACAGAGGTGTTTGGCTGCACGCTATTATTGAATGCCCATGCCCGTCCCATCGAACTGAAGGGGTGTAGTTCTAACAGCATGTTAGAGCCTGGCCTAACAGCATGTTAGAGCCTGCTCCCCCAAATCACCTGAAACTGGCATAGGGTGCCGATCAGTTGCGGTTGTGCCGATCACTTGGGGTCTGTCTGGGGCTGCATACGAACAACTCCCAAGAAGGAGTCGGTTCTTTCCGAAGCGCCGAACCCGTCGGAGGGCGCGTCACGCGAGTCTCGGGCGCCGGAGCCCGGACGGTATCACCCCCCGCGACGTTGAGACGTTGAGATACCATCCGATGCTGGAACCCCAAACCAACTAGAAACAAATGGTTGTTCCAATATGGCAATTGAAATCCATTTACATAGGAAATGGTTGGGACTGGGAAACATCCATTTCTTTCTGGTTGTTTGGGGTTCCAGGAAAGGACCATCCGCTAGTTGAGTGGTGCATCGGATGAGGGCGATACCACACGCCAGGACAGACTGCCGATCAAGCCAGACCCCTGAAACCATCCCAACTGATCGGCATACATGGAGTGTCTGGGAGAAAAAAGGCTATATAACCCTAGCCGCTCGGCCGACCGCTGCGTCGTACCGAACCGCTTCGGTGGGACGGGGGCCCGGGGGCCAGCGGTTCGGTACGTCGGTCGTCAGAGCGGTTCAAAGCGGCGCCCCGCCTCGCTTCGAGGACATGGGCCTCTCAGGATCACAGTGGCATGCGGTTGGTGCGTCAAGCCGTACTACTTTTGAGATCCACGACGGGGGCCGCCACCTTTCGCCCCCTCCTTTCACCGAACAATCGCCCAGGCTCAGAGGCTGCACCTTTCGGCCCTGCTTGGCGACTCGGCACATGAGCTCTGTCCGGAGGTGAAAGCTGCTTGATGCTGCCCTGTCATGATCGGTTGAGAGGTCGCTTCACGTTACCCCTTTTTGCTTGTGGTACATGGCAGGGATGGGCAGCCCGGGCTCAGTATAGGTCTCTGATTTCAACCCCTCTTAGGTGGCCTTTCCGCGCCTCCGCCGCCGGTGGAAACCACCGGAGGTGAAGAAGCTGAACTCGTCGCCCACCACGCCACGCCTGGGAGAGCGCCCACCAGGTCGGGAGCCCAGCGCTGCCGAGCGCCTAAGGGGGCTCTCGGTGAGAGGACCGAGAGGTGTTTTGGCCCCTTTACCAACACAGGTTGAAGGTACCCGAACGTTCGACCATCCCAGTTCGGTACCCCAGGTGAGTAGGGTCCGGACTAGTTCAGGTCACGTGAGTTCCACCTCTCTTGGTTTGTTCAGATCCGCAGGGTGAGAGGTAGGGGAAGCTTCGGGTGGTTGCGATGTGTTCGTTCTTCGGGTTCTGTGCTTCGAAGCTCTACGCCCACGAGCGGGAGCAGGTCTCATGATCCGAAGCTGCACTTCCGGCCTCGCCGTGAAGCTGGTTTTATGGATTTGGATGCCCGTTTGGGCTCCAGTCGTACCTCCTCAGGTTCGGTATGACTGGACCCTCCTGCCACAGTCCCACCTTCTAAGAAGATACTTGGAGCCCTAGGGATGGTATTAGAGTCTTAAGTACCCAGACAATCCATGGAACTGGAATATATGCCGATCAATTGACCCACTAAACCACCCCAACTGATCGGCAAATATGCCATACATGGAGTGTCTGGGATAGGTATGAATTCTCAAATTTCCTGTAGACTCTTGATTAACATAACCCTGGCATATATCAAGAGGTTGTTCAATCCCAACTGGGTGGGTGGGGGCGTTGTCAATGAAGTGTATGATAGTGTATGCATACTTCATGCAGGTATTTTCAGGAACCAGGTTGGCAACAGACCAAAACTTGTTGTTTGTTTAACTACCTGGGTTTGCTCAAAGTGATTTTATCTTCCCTGTGGGTGGAACCCTTCTGGTGAATAGTTGTTCTTTTCTTTTTTCCCCAGGTTCCTGGACGATGGAAGGTGTAGGAAGGTTGATGGTTAAGAGCCCCCACTGCAGGCTCTTCTCCTCGACGTTTGCGCTTGGGAGCCACTACAGACGATGTGGGCAGCGTCAGCGGCTACAGCCACTTGGTGACATAGGGCTGGGCGATAGTGCTCGTGGTGGGTTTAGTACCCTTTGACGAGCCTGTTTTAGGAGAGGAAAAACCGCCTGTTTGAGGAGCCTGGTCTTCACAGCCTGGTCAGATCTTCCACATTCAATGTGATGTGTTCGTCGGAGTGTACTTCGATAATCTTAGATATTCTCAGAGGCATTCAGAGGCCCATCTCATTTGCATGGACATAGGGTGTAGCCCATTACCAGTAACAGTCAGTAAAAGATGATCACTATTTAAGTGAGAAAGGCCTTCACTAACCATCATCATCCACTGTTACTGGCAATGGGATATACCGATACCCAACATGGACCTCTTTTGATCACCAACTTTCCCTAACTGCTTTGAGGGGATCATTTCCTTCCATGAGCCACTGGATTCTCGCAAATCACGAAAGGTAGCTTGAGCTACCTGAGTTCTCCTTGCTTTAGCAAAAATGTATTACAATCAGGAGTTGGGATTGTGCATTGAGTTTGGTCCTGTAAGAGTTGATTCTGTTCGTCGGGGGCCCCCCCCCCCCTGGGATCAAATCCCCCCTGCGCCGGTTCACGCCGTCATGGACTTCTACCAGGGTTGCTTGTGATTGCCTGCTACCTTTCGTTCACCCCCTCCTCTCTCAAGTTATATTTACTCAGATGATTCGAGGGTTCAAAGGCCTTGGGCACACCCAGGTTAATGAAACAATACCATTCAGGTTTATGAACCACTTCGTTTCTTATATAAGTTCTTTGTGTTTTCCCTCTGAGAATCTCTGAGCGCAACCTGGAGGACACTTGCACTGAAGTGCGTGACATCGTGTCAAATCAAAGCACATGCAAGTTACATCAAGTTTCCATGCACGTGTTCATTTCGAAGTAGATGTAGATCTGATCAGATGCTACCTATGTGCTGGCACCAGCTGACCTTTGGACACGCTGTGTTTCGTGATGTAGCTGGTCCGCTGGTCGTGTCACCTTGGCCACCCCCCCCCAAAAAAAAAACAAAAAAACAAACCGAACACCATAGGTTTGTAAGCACGGCTAGGTGAACGGCCGCCGTGCCCCCTGCTGCTGTACAATGTGTAAACTCTGCTGTGTACACACACACCGAAACCTAGACCCTCGAGTCCGGACGGACGACACGACTCGACTCAGGCGTGGAGTACACCACCACGCGGCTGCAGAACCTCGTGGAGGCCGGACCTCGTCACCGGTCGAGTCGGTCGAGCCGACTCGCTCGGTCCTCCGCGGAGGACGAAGACCACAGGGGGGTGGAAGAGGACAGGACGAAGACCGGACGACAGCTATGGTGGTCTTTTGTTGAGTCTCTTATGGATATTTGGTGGTGTTGCCATGGCGCCATAGGATCTCTTTTTTGGGGATCTCTTAATTCTCTTTTATCAGGAAGACGACTGTCCGTAGAACAGGTGGTGAAACTCCACTTCCGGACATGAGTTGGAGACGTTATCCCCTGGTTTTGGGGTCCGTGGTCATGCCCCATTCTCAGGTACCTTTTGGAGGGTCCGGGTCAATTTCATCTGGTAGCAGCTAAGGCAGCTAAGGTGGAAACGGAAGTTCTTGGGCTCAGGTCATCCAGGTGGGATCTGACAACTTTCACCTTTTGAGGATGCATGTTTGTTTTACTAGGGGTCTAAATGATCGACTCAGTTGGGATCGACTTGTTTGATATACCCAGACGGTGAAGGACCGGAATTTTGTGGAGACAGAGGTGATGGGACTGACAGGACGGACTGCCGAGAAACGGGCGTTCGGGGTGGTGGGTCAGGGGGTGTCAATTGATCGGCATATATTCCATGGAGATCCATGGAGTGTGTATGGGTCTGAAGAAGTTTTCGCAACTCAGAGTTGCTTTGTCGCCCCGGTCGCCCCTCAAGTCGAAGTGTGTCGCCACTTCGCCGTCGCCACACACTGCCGTGCGTGTGCGAGGCTCAGCAGGATGCCTATGCAAAGCTCCAAACATTGGCGGAAGAAGAAGGCTCGGCTGAGAGGCAGTCGTGGCCCTTACCAACAGGAACATGCCACCTACTGTACTATATATAATATGTATGAGGGGCCAGTGGCGGCCACATCTGCATGGGTACAGATGTGGTGGCAAACCAGTTTTGTCATCATGTTCCAGTAAATGTTGGATTTCACTCCTTAACTTGCTTGGAGGCTAGCCTTTTTTGATCGGGTGGTGTCACCCAAATTTACAGGTTGAGCAGGTTGTTGCAGACCACCCTCGTTCACGCACGGGGGCAAAAGGCGTGCACAAAAAGCACTCCTGGGACCCGGGTATATAAACCTTTAGCAGGTGATTGAGCAGGCAGCTGAAGACCAGGAGATTCCAACGAGACCAAACCCTTGGTGAGCACCATCTCCACCGGGTGCACCGTTTCTCGCGTTTTCCAATTCGCTGGTGAGCGGCTCGCTGGGCTATGCCGCGAGGCCCCTTGAAGGAGCGCCTCCGCGGCATTCATGGGGAGCTCCATGAACGCATCCAACGGGAGGAGACCCAACGCGTGGCCCGGCGCAGAGACCAGAGACCGTTTGGACGGGACGGCGGGACGGGCTGTTTGGGACGGAGGAGCGGACAGCAGGGTGGACAGGGTGGATTGGAGGTCTCAGAGAGGAAGGACTGTTCAGCGCTCCTGTCTTCCCAAACACTTAGGCCATGTTAGGCCTATACCCTACACCTCCGGTTATACCTCCTAAACGGGTTCGGTATGACTGGACCCGACCCTGGCACCTGGGCCCTGGTCGTCCCAACGAACCTCAGAAAAAAGGCTAGAGGCCGATCGGGACATACCAGGACCCTCCTGTCGGGGTGCCCTGTCAGCAAAGTGCGGTCGTGTGGGGTAGTCGTTCACCAGGACACCCCGAAGGTCGGAGGGTCCAGGTACATTGATTCCTGAAATCAACGTTCCAACAAATCCCCATAGCTACGGCCGGAAGTCCATGGCGGTCCCAGATGGCGGGACCTCGTGGGTTTGGGCCTGAGATCCGGAGATCGTGTGAGGTCCAGTCGTGGTGAATTCCTCAGGTCCAAGCATTCCCTATATGGATTCACAGACCTTCTCAGAAGGTAATTGGACCCTCCTGGCGCCTACATGCATAAATAGTCTCCAATCACCGTACCTCAGAAGGTATGTGGATCCATAGGGATTGGAAGGATTGGTTGACCGAACAGACCGTCTGCCTGGAAGGTTCCTAGTGGGGTAAAGAGATGTTCCTGCTGATTGGGCTTCTTCATGTAAACAGATGTTCTTCATGTAAACAAAATTCAACCATCAACGTGGCCTGTATGTGAAGGGTGGGTTATGCATGTTATTTATGCCTCTTCGATCCTCTTCGTCATGGTTGAATTTCAGAGCAGATACACTCCACCCTAAGATCAAACAGATAGGGTTTGGGAACCGGCCCCGTTTTCCCCCTGCGTTTCGACCCCTGCCATGGACAGCCCAGGCCCGGATTCTTAGGGTATGAACCCTAGGGCTCCAACCATCTGCTCAGAAGGTGGTTAGACCCCCAAAACCCACCCCAACCACCTTCTCAGGAGGTGGTTGGAGCCCTAGGGGACAAAATCATGGCATGGCCCCAGACGCGAAGGCCCAGAGCCTCCGTTCAGGGGCCGGTTCCCCGGTCAAACCGAACGGTTTTTTCGGGGTCCGGACCTTCTCACCAATCCGGGTTTGGTGAGAAGACCAGGAAAGGGCTGTGAAAGGAGCGTTTGGGTTGTTGGAACTTCCATCCATGACTCTTTCAGGTGCACATCCCGCCGGCGGAGCCGAGGACGTCCGCACAGCCGGAAGTAACATGGAAGTGGATGGCATGGTTCCTCCGGTCATGTACCAGGACCCTCCGACCTTCGGGGGGCCCTGTCTGGAAGCCTATAGGTAGTGTGGGGTAGTCCAGCCAGGACACCCCTTGGAGGGTCCAGGTACATGCATTTTCATGCATGTTCTACTTCCATGTTAGTTCCGAGAGAGGGTAATCGATAAACCCCACTAACGTCCCTGAGTTGGATCTCCTCCATGGTGGTCTTGATGTAGGTGAACACCTCATAGATTTTAATATAATCCCCAAACACTCCATGTGTAGCATATTTGCCTACATGAGGGGTCAATGTAGGCAAATATGCTACACATGGAGTGTTTGGGATCTATTCTGTTCTTGTTCTGCGGGAAAACAGGAAGATTTCGGACCCACAATCCATCGACTAGAAGTTGAGATCGATTCAGGTGGTGAGCATGCTGCAAGATGCAGACTCGGGATCCTCATCACAGAAGGATCTAGTCCAGCCACTTGGCAAGAAGAGCGGCACAAAGTGGTCCGTCACGAACGCTTCACGAATGGCGAAGCGGAGGCGTCTCGTGAGCGAATGCCTTGCAAGACGGTGATAAAGAAACCTTAACAGGGCCATGCTTGGTTCCTACATGAAGGTCACAAGCATTCCCAAGCTATGCTGCAAAGATGTTTGAGCCAATGCATCATACATCCAAGAAATAGTCGAAATAGTTAAGCAGCAACAATGGGGACTTTCAGAATCAGACGTTTGTTTTCAGGTTCTTTTTTTGTTATCACTTGATCCTCCACATACCAGAATGTTAAGTTGCTTGAGTTTAGTGCTTTTGCTCGCAAGAAGTGTTTTGCACCAATGTTATTTGGAAAAAATGAAAGAAGTGTTTTGGTGTTTCCGTGGCCAAGTCTTAAAACACTTGCACAACCAATAACCATTCGACCCTTCTTCTCACCCTCAATACCCTGAAACACTACAGCCATCAGTCACAAATTCCCAAAGCGCAAACACCAAATGCCGTTTTTTTTTACAAAACAATGCAAGCAGTCTCACTAATCAAAAGATCAGCTCTTCTTGAACAGCTTTCGCAGGTCTTCAAACAAACTTCCTACAAAGTGTTTACAAAGTTTTGGATCTTTACAAACATTTGACAAAGTTTTGGAATTACAATTTTTTACCGAGTTTTTGCATTACAAAGTTTTAACAAAGTCTACAAAGTTTAAAGATAGAAATAACAAACTTCACAAAGTTTTTGGACACTTACAGTACATTGAATTTTACAAAACTTTGGAACTACGAAGTTTTTACAAGGTATTGAACCTTTAGATATCTGAACAAAGCTTTGGACATTTATCAGGCTTTGAACAAGTTTTGGAATTTTTACAAAGTTGTTACCAAGTTATTGAGTTTGAAAGTTTTTACAAAGCTTTTACAAAAGTTTTTGATGCTTACAAACTTTCTACAAAGTTTCGTTTTTTTTCAATCTGTGTCAAAACTTTGTAAACTTTACTATTTGAAAACTTTGCAAAACGTTGTAAACTTTGTAAGAACTTTGTAAATACTTTGTAAACTTTGTAAAAGCTGTGTAAGCTTTGTAGAAACTTTGGTGAAATTCAAAAACTTTGTAAACTTTCAAAACTCTGCAACAACTGTGTAAAGATTGAACAAATTTTGCAAACTTTGTCAAAACTTCGTAAACTGTTGTTAAAATTGTAAACTTTTTAAACACTGAAACACTTTAAACTTCGTAAACCTTTGTAAAAACTTTGTGCACTTTGTAAAACTGTGTAAAAAACTGCGAAAACTTTGTGTAAAAAATTGTAAAATGCGAAAACTTTGTCAAAACTTTGTAAAACACTTGTAAACTTTGTCAAAACTTTGTGAACTTTGTCAAAAAGTTTGTAAACATTGCAAACTTTGTACACTTTGTACTAACATTTTGTAAACTTTGTAATTTTTTTTTAGATGTTGTAGGCCTTCGTAAACTCTATTTAAAAAAAGACCTAAACTTCGTAGCACTTTGCAAACTTTGTAAAACATTTTTAAACTTCGTAAACTTTGTCAAAGCATTGTAAACATTTTGAAAGACCTTGTGAACGTTGTGAAAACTTTGTAAACTTTGAACACTTTGTAAATTTCCTCAAAACTTTGTACAAATTGTGAAACTGTACAAACTTTGTAAAAACTTTGTAAAATGTAGAAAGAAACTTTGTAAACTTTGCAAATAAATAAACTATCAAAACTTTGTAATTGTTGTCAAAACTTTGTAAACTTTGTCGAAACTCTGTAAACTTTGCAAAACTTCGTAAACTTGGCAAAATCTTTGTGAACTTTCCAAAATCTTCAAAACTTTGTAAACTTTGTAAAACTTTGTAAATTTGTGTAACAAAAGGCAAATGTCGCAAACTTTGTCAGAACGTTGTAAACTTTGTAAAAACTTTGTAAACTTTGTAAAAACTGTGTCAACTATGTAAACTTTGTAAAAACTTTGTAAAACTTTGTAAAGTTCTGTGAAAGAAGTGTTTTTGCACGATTTTTTAATTGAAAAGAAGTGTTTTTCATGTCATTTGTTGTAAACATAAGTGTTTTTTCACCAGCCATTTGCAAACTTTGTAAAAACTTTGCAAACTTGAAAACTTTTGTAAACTTTGTAAAAACTTTGTAAAAACCTTGCAAACTTTGTAAAAACTTTGTAAACTTTGTAAAAACTTTGTAAACTTTGTAAAAACTTTGTAAACTTTGTAAAAACTTTGTAAAAACCTTGTAAACTGTGTAATAACTTTGTAAAAACCTTGTAAACTGTGTAAAGACTTTGTAAACTTTGTAAAAACTTTGTAAACGTTGTAAAAACTTTGTAAACTTGAAAAAGCTGTTGTAAACTTTGTAAAAACGTTGTACAACTTTGTAAACTTTGTACAAACTTTGAAAACTTTGTAAACACTTTGTGAGACTTTGTAGACTCTGTAAACATTGAAAAACTGTGAAAATTCCGAACTTTGCAAGAACTTTGTCAAATTCCAAAGCTTTCTAAAATCGTTGTAAACTTTCAATGCTGTGCAAAAACTCTGTAAACTGTATAAACTTTGCAACTTTTGTGAAAGCTTTGTAAACTATGTAAAGTTTGCAAATGTTTGTACACTTTGAAAAAACTCCATGTAAAATTGTACAAATTGCAATCTTTGTAAAGATTTTATAAACTTTGTACAAGCTTTGTAAACTTTCAAAACTTTGCAAAACTGTGTAAACTTTGTAAAAAACTTTGTCAACATTGCAGCAACATTGTAAAACTTTCAATACGTCTTTAATTGATTTTTTAATGGTAAAACCTTTGTAAACTGGGTAAACTTTGGAAATTGTTCAAAACTTTGTAAACTGTGTTAAAATATTGTAAACTTTGTAAAACTTTGTAAACTTGGTAAACGGTTGTAAAACTTTCAAAACTTTGCAAACTTCATAAAATCTGTGTAAAACTTTGTAAACTTGTACCAACTTTGAAAGCTTTGTAAAAACGTAGTGAACTTGGTATAAACTTGGTAAACTTTGTCAACACTTTGTAGACTTTGTAAAACTTTTTTAAACTTTGTCAAACTTTGTAAGCTTTGTCAACCTTTAAACTTGTAAAACTGTGTAAGAACTTGGTAAAACTTTATTAAGACGTTGTAAAATTCGCAAACTTTGTAAAAAGGTTTACAAACCTTTTACGAAGTTTTGGAGTTCTTCAAATTATTCTTCAAAGTTAGAGCAACGTTTTACACAGTTTTTAGAACGTTTACAAAGTTTTGTATTTTTACAAAAAATACAAAGTTTACAAAACTTTCACAAAGTCTTAAGAATTTGTACAAAGTTTGCAACTTTTGCAAAGAGTTGACAGAGTTGTTGAATTACAAACAAACTTACAAAGGTTTACAACGTCTACAAAGCTTTTACCATGGCCGTTCACTCACCACTCACGAGACAAACAAACCTATGAAATAGTCCTTTGGGTCTCGTATGTTGCCACTAACAACGCAAGAAAAAACAAGACGTGTTTTATACCCTCTCTTAGTTCTGAACAACCAATTCTTCAGAGGTCCGCAAGGGTCAAAAACACTTCTGCGCTAATTCCCCCGAAACAACGAACGACGGTCCCCAAGCAACTTAACATACCAGAACTCACCACATGGCAAGATACTATAATTGATTCATTATATCCACTTTGCTGGCCATATTTGCGAAACCACTAGGCACACGTGTTCACGCACGTGTTCACTTTTTTGGGGCACGAAGGACTCGTTTTGTTTGGTTGTGGTCTACATGTGGGGCCTGACCCCATCGACATGTTCGGGTAAGACCCCAGAAGTCCCTCGATTCGATTTCTTGGTGAAGAGACTTCCTGTTGAGTGGCTGAACCTTGTTTTTCTCCTCCCGAGATGGAGATCTACAAGCTTGTTGCTCCAACCCTCTGAGAATTCCTCGCTGAAAACACGCATTCCAGCGCTGCTCGGCGCCGGGAGACCGGCGCTGCTCGGCGCTGCGTCGGCGCAGGCGTGTCCGAGACATGGTGGCCCAGGGACAGGACCCCGAGAAAGCCCAGCAGCAGATCGTGGAGGAGATCGGTGGGGCGGTGTGGTTTCACTGGGCCGATTGGCCCGGGCTGAGCTTCACCGGGCCAAGATGAAAAGTCATCTACTCCCTACACCGACTTCGTTGTACCTCCTAAACGGTTCGGATGACTGGACCCTCCTGGCACCCGGGCCCCCAGTCCCACCTTCTCAGGTTCGGTACGACTGGAGACTGGGACTATGTGAGTTCCGTGTTTTTGTTCACCGGCATTTTGAGTCAGAATGAGCTCATTCATTCGATTCATGTATGAGTGAGGCATAGTGAGGCCATAGTCCCCACCACGAGAATGAGCCTGGTCAGCAGGACTCTTGGCCAGAAACTATTCCCCTTTGCAATTCAAGACCAACTGAATAGGCTATGACAAATCTTCAGCTGAAAGGGTAGCATTCACTGTTCAGCTGAAAGGGTAGCATTTACTGAACATTCACTGAGGTCCAATCCAATCCAACTATAGAACCAACAACAACCAACCAAACAAACGAACGAACGAACAAACGAATTAAATGAACAAACGAACAAACAAAAAGAAGACTAATTATGAATTAAAGCAACTAACAACCAACAAAAAGAACAAAAACAACAACTGCTGCTGCTGCTGCTAAGCTACCACAACTCTTGTGCCTTCAGCGCTGTGCATCACCAGCTTTTCAGCGCAGCGCTTCAGCTTCAGGAGCTGGTGCTCCAGTCACAGGACGAGGTGCGTCGCCGCGTGATGGAGCACTTCGGGCCACTGCGCTTGGAGGCGGGCGAAGGATGGGAGGAGCGCCGAATGGCGCGAAGGGTATGGCTATGGCTATGGTTATGGCTATGAAGGAAATCCCTGTGGCTGGTGATGTGACGTGGCTGTTCATGATATGTTTTGGCAATTCATGTTTTTGATTTGCTGATGTTGATTTTTCCAGCGAACTGGGTGTGGGCAGTATCCTGTAATCTTTTCCGGATGCGTTCAAGCAAATCTAAGGAAGGTGGGGGGTGAAGGACTGTCGCTACGAAGGGAACATCCAAATTTTGAAGGATCCATTTTTGGACTGGGCAGCTGGGCAGCTGGACGCACTCAGCTTGCGGGGATTTGAGAATCCCATGTAGACCGCCCTAGGGTTCGAACCAATTAGACCACCCTGGCACCCACCCCAACCACCTTCTCAGGGCCAGGAGCCCTAGGGGTGGTCCATGCCACCAGTGTTTTTGGGAGCCACGCCGTGAATCTGTTTTTCCCTTACCGACCCAAACGTTCCATGGGACTGCCATAGATGCCGATCAGGCCAGGGGTGGTGCCAGAGGGGTCTGTTTGGGGCGGCAGTCCTATGGCAGTCCCACGGAGTGTATGGGTTATTTCTTCCCACGGCCCCGCACGGTCGCCGTGCTTGCTGCTCTTTGGGTCGACCACCGCATCGCTGGCGCATGCTGGCGCGAAGGCGGAGGGGGAGCTCTATAGCCGGCAACTGTCGGTGGCTCATGTTGGGTGCCCCAGAATTGGAGGCCGTAAGTGGGTGAGACCAGTGGAGCTATGTACTGGTAGATAGTGGTCCTTTTCAAGTGCTTGGTTGGGGGTCATAATCAAGAAGGCGGCTTCTTCTGTAGGGACAGGACTTTGAAAATTATAAGAAGATTTAAATTTCAATTTGATGAGGGGTCATTCTAGCTCAGTTAAAATTGTGGAAGACTTGGAAGTGATGTAGGTTTCAACTACCCAGTGCCAGCCAGCATACCAGCCGTCAAAAATGAGGTATACAAAAAAAGACACCGCAGACTTCAACCACTAACCACTCCACCCTGGGTGACACAACCGGTTGAACCCAATTGAACCGCTCTTTTGAATCCCTAGAGCCTCAGATAGCGATATCCCCAAGGCGTGACCACTTCCGCAGCCAGTGGATCACCTGCAAAAACATGTTCACCACATCCGGCTTCCTTGGCAGCTTGATTTACAAACCACCTTTCAATCAAAAGGGGCCTCATCTCGTCTCCGAGGATTCTTTCCCAGACTCAGAGCCTACCAGCTTCCTTTCCACCACATCCCCCTTCATCGCTCCTCTTCGGGGAGCCGCTCGCTGACCGCGACCGACAGGAGCTGGAGTCTTTGGAGGCGAAGGCCATCGCTCTCCATGGGGGCACGCTCTGCGAAGAGGCGAGCGCGGCACGTGGCGCTGCGGTCGGGCGGTGCGCCGTGGGCGAGTTCGGATGGCAGGACCGGTCAGCGGCGTGGGGTGGGTGCGGGACGGACCTGGAAGCTGTGTTCTGAAGTGATTGGTCTCCCCCATGACTGCATGAGGTGGCATTTTGCATCGATTGTGCTAGCTATACATTGGGTCATGGTTGAGAGAGGGGTCAAGTTTTGCGGCCAGGATTCTTCCGTTCGGTCACTTGATCTGCCTCGGTCCAGTTTCTTGGGCCGAAGCTCTGAACTCGCTGGACGGGACTCGTTGGCCCAAACACGACCTGTCTGGGACCGGCAGGACGGACTGCCGAGAAACAGCCAGACCTCCCTGGCACCACCACCCCTGGCCGTTTCTCGGCAAAGATGATCAAAGATGCCAGTCCCATGGAACGTTCGAGTCGGACCAGCCCGACGGATCCAGCGGCTCCCAAGAGGGACCCCCAACGGCCCCCCCGCACCCCTGATTCTTGATACTTGATTGGTGAATCATTCATGGTGGAATCAGAAATATTGATGTCCTGCTTCTTTTTAGTTCCGAATCCCAGTAGGGAGTTGAAATCACCAACCACTTGAGCTCAGTGGGATACATCGCATTAAAATGCATTAAAACTAAATCGCCGTTTGAGAAGTAAGCATCCGACCAGTGATGAGGAGGCCGTGTCGCACGAGGTGGCTTCCTTGTTGGGCACGAGGTGTCACCGAGGAACAATAGAGTCTACACGGTCCCCCCGCACCAAACACGGTGTACTATGCGGTTACAAAGCTCAGGGTCCCGGCAGTAGCAATCAAGATCAATATTGATCAATTCCAAATCCTTCTCACAAGGCCCCAGTTCAGCTGCGTATGCTCATTCTTTGCCTTGTGTGTGTGTGTGCGGGATGCGATGCATGCACATTCAAGGGTCCTTCAGTTGATCGAGCCCGGTCTATTTCCATCCCGGATCCGCCGGCCTCGAGCTTTGAAGGGGATTGGAGACGTATCTCTTTTTAATGTGGGCGCCGTACTGATCAGTGTGGGCGCTTTCACCGAACCTGAGAAGGCACGTCGCACCGAACCGAAACCATGCTTCGTACCTCAGTCAGTCGCCCTCCGCCTGGGTCACGCGCCAGGCGAAGCTGATGGGCTTTGATTTCAACTTGGCAGCACAGGTCGGGGCCGCGGTTGGGGGCTGTAGTCTTTCAGATCTTTCAGCTTATGCAGAAGACGGTCCCTCAACAAACAGTACAAACCACCAACAGCCCAGACTCAGAACAACCCAAAACACTGGCATATGTTTAAAGGGATCATGGCACCCAAATGCAGACAGTGCCAACTGTATGCGTGCACTTGTGTGCATACATCAACATCAACCTTGTCCGCAGATCGAGTTGATGCCCTACGTTTCTCGACGCATTTGCACCTTCCGTACCTTCTGCAGACCTCGTCCGGGAGACACTGTAGGAGGAGAACCGCAATATAATTTGGCACATTGGACTTGGGTCTGTCCAAACTTACCTGTAACAGGACCTGTAAACAATTATCACTATTTTTGAACAAGGCCTTTACTAACCATCATCATCCATTGTTACAGGTATTAGGATAGACCCAACATTGGACAATATTTTGTGTTGCCTTGGGATGAGAGCCCAAATGCCAATGGTCCAGCGATGATTTGCAAGTGGCGGCCAATAATCGGGAGTGAAAAGTGCTATCGTGTCTTCCTGGCCCATTTCAGTGGACAAATCCACTTCAAATTAACCGACCCTTCAAAACTGACCAACTTGGGCCATATTTTTGTCCGGGTATTTCCGCCATTGTTCCGCCGGTTTCCGCCTTTTGGACGGGTATTTCCGCTCTTGTTTTTTTGTGTTTCTTTTGAGCCCGGTGGCTGGGAACCCTCTGGATCCGGTTTCTCATGTGAAATATCAAAAAGTGTATGTTGGGATCTGTGAAGTTGAGAAAGTGTCATTATGTCACAAAACCCTTTTTTTTTCTTCAAAAATGACTAAAATAATGCGCACTTGTGGTTTACTAGGTAAGGATAGGAAAAAAGACTTGGACTTGCAGCACGATGCTTTTCTACCAACCGGCCTTTTTGGAAAACATGGAAACCACTCTAAGGTTTTTTCATGTTTTTTTTTTCAAACCGTCTTGATGAGCAAGTTTCTGGCCTCCACTCCGGGCCTGTTTCTGGCCTTTATCGTGGGGGTCTCAAGTCCAGTCGCCCTTCTTCAGGTCCTGGTGATATGTTTGGTTGGGTTATGTTCAGTGTCGTTCATCTCCTTGTGGACATCACCTTCTTTGTACGGAAAAGGTGGTCAGAAACCAGTCAACCCAGCCAATGACTCCGCCTCAGGTGCGGCAGAACCTGCGACAGGTCGGTTTGCCACGCATGAGTTCGGCGATGTCGCGCGTGGCATGGCTGCAAATTTGTGTTTGTTAACATTTTTCTGCTTCCTTCCTGCAACCAGAAGAAGAAAGCATGTAAAAAAAACAAGTTATTCAGTATTCAGATAGTTACTTCGTACTTATAGGAAGGAAGCACTTCCTGAGTGCAAATTGGATGGTTCAGACCAATTTTGGAAGTACTTACCTATCCCCGGTTGGTGCTCATACTTGAATGGTAGAACCTCCAGCATTTTAAAGGATTGTTGCTCACCTCAAAGACCTTTTTCACCTCAAAGACCAGCTACCTGGCCAACAAAAGAACACATCTAACCGGGTCTCACCCCGGCGAGTTCCAAGATGTTTTTTCCGGACATTGGCGGACATTGGTTCCATCCGGACATTGGGTTGAACGGAGCACATCCATCGTTTTCGACACGTTGATTTGATGCCACTGAAGATTGATGTCTGGCATAACACTGTCATTCACTTCACAGGAAAAAGGGGTAAAAAGAGGTATATACCAGGACCCTCCTGTCGGGGTGCCCTGTCAGCCTAGTGCGGTAGTGTGGGGTAGTCCAGCCAGGACACCCCGAAGGTCGGAGGGTCCTGGTACAGTTGCTTCGCTTCGATGGCCCCTCCCAGAGGTCATGGATAGATGGAGGGACTAGGGCGTCACCAACCACCCCGTTCATCGTGGGCCACACATTTCGTGTCATTGAACCTCAGGTTCCTCACTTATGCTGTACCTGGTTTTGTGGATCAGGTGATATTGTCCACTATGATGGGCATATAAATCCATGTAAATCCCCTGGTGGTGGATGATGGTGAAGATGTGTTGTTTTCCTTCCAGGTTCCGCAATCAGCCAATCCCCCATATACGCACGCCGCGTGGCGACGCGTGGCTTCCTTGAGGTCGACTCCAGCGTCAGCAGCCAGGTGGAGGTGGGCTCATCGGTTGGTGGGCAGGTCACTGAAAGCTACACACATACCAGGACCCTCCGACCTTCGGGGTACCCTGTCTGGAAGCCTAGTGCGGTAGTGTGGGGTAGTCCAGCCAGGACACCCCGAAGGTCGGAGGGTCCAGGTAGAGTGGTTTCAGAAATTCTCAGAGTATATAGATGGCATTGGCACCCCAAAAGGTTTCACAGTACTGGTCGGTGGCATCACTGGCAGGGCTCTACCCAAAACGCCACCAACGGCAGGCTAAGGCTGTGCAGTCGGGGCATGCCTTACGTCGCATCCACCCCGACAGGACCATGTTCTGGGTGTGAGAGTTGTTCCTTTCTGCGCGCACAGGGCGGTTTGCGCACGAGTTCATATGAGTTCATCCTAAAGAAAGCCAGGAGGGTTGGACTTCCCAAGGTCCTTCACAGTTGTCGTGTGAAAGAGATGACCTGACAGGACCTGACCTGTACGAACTGACACCCTTTGGCCCTTGCTCAGTCGCCTTCCGTTCGTTTAAGGAAGGGTTGAGCTGGTCTTGTAGTGTAATTACTGTAGAAGCCTTAGTAAAACCAATGGTTGGTCGGTAAGGACAATGAAAACATCATGGTTGGAATCCTGGGCCTTGGGGAAGAGATGAATTTTCTTGGGCGGGTTGACGTACCCAAACTCTCCTCGTTGACGTGTTTCAGTTCCACTAGCGGGTGCTGAAGATTTCTCTCGAAGATGCAAGCTTCTTGAAGGCGCTGGCTGCGCTGGCTGAGCAACCCGTCAGTGGCTACATGACTTACTGAACTTACGTCTTCTATGGATTGACCCTTTGCCAGTATTTTGTTGAAGGAGTGCAGTGCATGACAACTCATATTGATAGCAATCCAAAAATCAAGAGAAAACGGACATCCCCTTGGAACATGTCTAGGAAAATCTGAACATGTGTCAAGCCAACTCTTGAGCGTTAGAGAAAGCACACTCCAGGAAAAATGAAAACATCCTTTGAATACTTGACCAACTCAATTTGCATTACCTTCCAACATGTAGTTCCATGTTGTTCCAATCACATCTCTGAAGATCCCTTTTTCAGGTGGTCCCACCTTGGTTTTTGCTTGGGGTGATTGTTATGTCAGGGTACCTAGCACTTCCAACGGGTGCCCAATGGAGACCTGTAAGTAGGGTAGGGTAGTCTATTGGACACCCATTGGATGATCCTGGAATGTTTCTCTAGATGGGGAAAACCCCCTCACCTGGGCATATCCCGGCTTCCGACTGAGCAAATCCAACCACCTGCATCAGGTGGCACGCGCACCCTCGACGGGGCGGATGCCCAAGGCTGGGGAGTTCGGAGATATACCCAGACCATCCATGGGACTGAAGTGTATATCATGTAAATTCATTTGATGTAGACTCTTGGTTAAAAACGTCCATTTGGATTGACCAACTTTTTAACCATATGTTTTGTAATGTTTAATCTATGTTGTATATGTGGGATTATGAATCAAGAGTCTACATTATCCTACTTATACATGTCAATTTTGGATCATTTTAGGTTTGTTACCTTTAGCAGTCGGTAAACAATAAATTATCACTTTCTATGTTTGAACAAGGCCTTTACCAACCATGATCATCCGTTACTGGTAATAGGATAGACCCATAATCGTCAAACATATATTATAGGTGTAACTACGTATTCCATGGCACCACCGATTGAGCTTCAGCTTTTTTTTGTGGCTTTCCCTGAATAGGTTGGAGAGAATATCGTATCTACAGGAAGCCATGGTGACATCACTTCCAAAAACTATGGGCCCGCAGATGTTCTACTGTAGCAATACTGTTCTTCAAAGCATTTCTGAGATCAATTCCCTACAGGTCGAAGACCCCTCCGGTGGTGTGCTTGTCGTTTTCCCAAACAGTCTACCGAGTTTAGGCTTCACTGTGGGCCGGAAAAACTGGCCAAGTGGCCACAGTCTTTGGGGTCTATGCTGAAAGCCACTGTTTCTCATCCTCTGCTCGCTTGGTCCTAATCTCCAGGTGGACAGCCCGGGTTCGCCGTGGCGTGGCGCGCGGAACCCTGCGGCCGACTCCACGACCGCGCCAGAGGCGGGGTGCCCGGTGGTCTTCTTCTTCCCTTGGTTCTTGATTGGATTGACCCGGAACCTGGGTCACGTACCTGCAGGGATGACGTTCTTGGTCGACCAAGTGTTGCATGTTTTTTTCTCCACAGACATGCAGCAGACATGCATCCGTCGCGGAATCTCGTGCCGTTGAAAGATTAAACAGTTGATTGTTCGGAGCCGAACTTAGTAGCAAGAGGATTGCTACTAGAGGATTGCTACTAGTAACCGATTGCGGGGCATCGCTTGCATATTGCAAACCTGTCTATAATTTTTATTTGCGCTTTGGCGCTTTGTGTTGCTCAGGCATCTTCAGCGCTTGTGGCTTTCAGTTTGTAAGTACCGTATCTCCAGTGTGATCTAGTGAAATCTAGTGTTGTGAGTTGGGGAGAGGCTAGGGAATATGGTTTTCAAAATATTTCATTGAGGTCGCAAAACGAGAGATATTTGAATTTCAAAAAAGCAGCCACTTGCAGCCACTCGAGTGGCCGCAAGTGGCCGCTCCCCAAAAATCACACAGCAAGTGGCCGCAAGTGGCAAGTGGCCGCTATAGTAAGAGCAGGTTCAAGTGAAACTTTCCTTTTTCCAAGATGGAGAGCAGGGATGTCATCAAATCTTGAAAAAATACGGAGCTAGAGTGTTTCAATATTTTTTCAAGATGGAGGCCACTTGCAGCCACTTGCGGCCACTCGAGTGGTCGCACGTGGCCGCTATAGCAAGAGTACCCAAACATAGAAGAAACGGAGCCCCATGCAAGGGAGTATCCAAATAAGGATGAAGAGGACCGGAACGAAACAGAGAATTCCATCGCAGAGGGAAAGGACTCAAATGAAGGAAAGACTCAAACGAAGTAGGAAAGATTCAAAGGAAGAAGGAAAGGAATCAAACGAAGGAAAGA